GCATTGAATCCCTGGTACAAAAAAAAAAAAAAATTATGCGGAGATATGACAACTATGTACACATAAATCTGAAAACCTAAATGAAATATGCCACTTCCTCAAAAGGCTCAAACACCTGCAACTTACCCAAGAAGAAGGCAATCCCCAGCCCTACAACTGTTAAGGAAGCCAATTTTTTAATTTAAAATTTTCAAAAAAAAAAAAAATGTTTCTTTCTTTGACCAATTTGACCAAAAATTTAAAAGAGAATTAACACCAGTTTGACACAATCTGTTGTGGAAAATAGAAGAGGGGACAATTCCATTAAATTAAATATTTTATGGATCCAGTATTACTGTGATATCCAAATCAGACAAGTAAAAAAAAAAAGTACAAAATAGAAAATTACAGACCAATATCCCTCATGGATTTAGAGGCAAAACTCCTTAACAAAGTGTTAGCAACTAGAATTGAGAAATATGCAAAAAATAATTATACTCAAAACCAGCAGGATGTATAACAGGGATCAAGGCCAGTTGAATATTTGAAAAGAAATCAATATAACCATATTAATAGAAGAAAACATATAAATCATATCAATTGTTGCAGAAAATCATTTGACAAAATTCAACAACCACTCATGATAAAAACTCTTGGAGGGGCTGGGGATATGGCTCAAGCAGTGGCGCACTCGCCTGGCATGTGCGGGGCGCTGGGTTCGATCCTCAGCACCACATAAAAATAAAATAAAGATGTTGTGTCTGCCGAAAAGTGAAAAATAAATATTAAAAAATTCTCTCTCTCTCTCTCTCTCTCTCTCTCTCTCTCTCTCTCTCTCTCTCTCTGTCTCTTTTAAAAAAAAACTCTTGGAAAAAGACGAATGGAGGGGAACTTCCTCAGTGTAATAAAGAACATCTACAAAACCAAAAAACTTGGGCTGGGGATGTGGCTCAAGCGGTAGCGCGCTCGCCTGGCATGCGTGTGGCCCAGGTTCGATCCTCAGCACCACATACAAACAAAGATGTTGTGTCAGCCAAAAAAACTAAAAAATAAATAAATATCAAAATTCTCTCTCTCTCTCTCTAAAAAAAACCAAAAAACTTATAGCTAACATCATGCTAAAATGGTGGGGAATGAATGATAAATGCCCTCCTCCCCAGACAAGGTGGGAACAAAGGAAGGTGTCAGTTCTCTCCACAGCACTGGGCCCAGGGCCAGGAAGTGCACACCTGCAGGTGGCCTCGCAGGGAAACCACCAGTCCAGGCTTGGGAAGCCATGATATCTGAACTCATCTCAAAATTTTATTAAAATGAAGATTCCAAATGTCAGAATCTATAGAAACAATAACATTAGTAATCAGAGGAAAATTCATTCCCTTAAATAATCACAGAGCAAAAATTAAAGAACAGCATGCAACTCAAGAAGTCAGAAAAGGAGCCATACGATGGGGCAAGAGGAAGGAGCAGAGAAGTAATGAAGACCAAGCAGAAAGCAAAGGCTCCAGGAACCAACGCACAGAGTCACAGTGAGTTAGAGCCCTGGGTTTATGAAGTCTGAGATAGACCAGTCAAGGAAAAGGGGGAAAACACATAGGATTTAACAAATGAAAGCGGGGGAAAACTCTGAGCCAGAGAGAAACTGAAGGGGAAAAAATGTAGCCCCACCTTGGCTTAAGTTTAAGAAAATAAATTAGAAAACCTAGATCAACTGGATCATTTCTAAGGAAAATATAATTTACCAAATTCACCTCGGGAAACTACAATGTTTAAACAGAACAATATCCACACAGAAACAAAGAAATTATCAAATAGAGAAATTATCCTTCAAAAACAGACCAGACAAAGACAGTTTCACAAGAATTCTACCAAATATTTAAAGACCAAGTAGTTCTAGTGTCACCTAAACTGTCCGTGTTTGTGTTGTGGATGTGCGTGTGTGTGTGTGTGTGTGTGTGTGCGCGCGCGCAGCTGTGTCTTTAATCTCTTTGGAGTTCCTGAGGGAAAAGAGGTGCACATTCTCAAAACTCAACACAATGTTTAACAAAGTAACATGGGGGAAACTCTTGGGAAAGACTCCAAATTCAGCTGCCACATTATCAGAATCATGTTTGTATGTTTTTTAAAAGTTTCAATAAAGGAGGTATCCAAAGCAATTGCTTATTCACAGCTTTCTTGACCAGCAATCTGGAAAAGAAAAAAAAAAGTTAAGTATTTTCTGTCCTAATATGATAGTTTGTAACTTTTCAGCGTTCAACTGTGCTTTAGTTCTTAGGAAATGGGGGTATTGAGTTACATGTAATACACTGTAATTTTTGCCATTTATAATAATGGGAAAGGGTTCAGGTACACTCCACAGTAGAGCTTTTACCTAGCAGGCACGAGACCCTGTGTTTGACCCAACACCAAAAAAATAAAATAAAATAAGATAAAAATAAATCAATCAAATAATGAAAAATGGGACTCCCATCCAGAACACTGGGTTTTCAAGAATGCAGCAGTGAAGGTAAACAAGCAATAACTATATGGCACCAATATACAAACGTTGTGATGTTTAAGTGTACCAAAGAAAGCTGCAAACACACCTCACCTCAAAGCATCAGTCCACAAATCTTCCATAAAATATTAAAAGAATTTAACCACACATTAAAAAATAAGCAAAATAACCAGGTCAGTTTTAAGGTTGCAAATGTAGTACCACATCAGGTAATTCATTGCCACGTGTCTTCATATTTATGGGGAAATTATGAACTCTATAGATGCTGAAAAGACCCTCAACCAAATTTGACATCTTTGCTAGATAAGAACATCAGTGAAATAGGAATCGAATTTCCTGCTGAATTGAATTGATGGGTACTTAAATGTGATCTCACAACATACTCCCCTGAGGCCCCAAACCAAAATCATTAGCTTAGTATAGGCAAAAACAAGGTAAAGGTACTCTGGAACTCCACTGTTACCTTCAGAGTATTAGCCAGCACAATCAGACAAACAAGGGAGCCTGACTCAGTAAGAAAGAGCACCAATAATATTCACAGAAGTTCTGAAAATATTCTTAGAAAACAACAGAGAATCAACACTGAAACCAATAAACAATTTGAGGACTCAAAGTAGCAGGAAACATAATTAACATGAAAACCAAATGCTAGATTTCTGCTCCTAGCAGAAGGTAATAACAGGAATCAGATTGACCCCAATTTCCAATAGTAGCAATAAAAACAGCAGACATTCAGAGAATGGAAAGCCAAACCAAAGATTGGGAGAAAACGCTTATAACACCCATATCCAATAAAAGACTTATATCCAAAATACACAAAGAACTCCTAGCTCTCAACAACCATAAAATAAGCAACCAACTAAAAATTGGGCAAAAAACCTGAGTAGATCCTCACCAAAGAAGATACAGAGAACAAATAAGCACATTAGAAGATGTTCTATATCCCAAGCCTCAGGGAGCTGCAAGTTACAAGGAGACACCACTGCACACCTATCAGAACGGCTGAAACCCCAGCACTGACAATACCACCCTGGGGAGGGTGTAGAGCAGTGGGACCTCTCCCTCATCACCAGAGAGGATACAAGACAGAGCAGTCATTTTGGAGAAGAGTTTGGCATCTTCTACAAAACAGTCTCACCACACATCACACTCTTAGATATTTACCTAAAAGAAGTGAAAAATTAAACCTACACAAAATCTAAAGATGAGTGCTTATAGTAAGTAGTTTTATTCATAACTTGCAGAAATGGAAACCACCATGATGTCCTTCAACAGGTGAATGGATAAACAAACTGTGGTACATCTAGACAATGGAATATTAATTCAGTGCTAAAAAGAAACAAGCTAGCAAGTCACAAAATGACATGGAGGAGCCTGAAGTGCATAAAGCTAAGTGAAAGAAACCAGTCTAAAAAGACTGAACACTATATGATTCCAACATTAAGACATTCTGGAAAAGGTAAAAAAAAAACTACAGCAACAGTAAAAAGATCAATGGTTGCCAACAGGCATGGAGGGTTGGGAGGGATTCACATCTAGACTCTGTGGAGAGGTAGGGACCCTGGGTTCATCCTCAAGCTAATCCAGAGAGAATCAGGTGAGGGGAGTGAGAAGACAATGACTTGTTTGTGCCCATAGGAAGTAGAACAAGTAGAACAAGAGATCTGCTTTCTTCAAGAAGGCCAAGAGGAAGAAAATGCTAAGCAAGTAGAGCTCACCACTTTCCACTGTTATACTGGGTTGGCACACTGGCTGGTTGAGAGAGCCTAAGAAAGAATAGTTGCAGACATCTGTCTGTGGCTGTACCTGCAAACGTGGGCATGCGTGGAGACACCTGAGTTTACGCGGTGCATTCGGGGGCTGAACACTTCACTGCCCTTCCAGGCCTTCTCCCTTGTCCCCTGGGGATGTCTCCTCTGTACTAGAGAAAGGAAGTCTCCTCCTTGTTCTCACTGAATGCCCATGCCTTGTCCCTACTGGGTGAGAGCCTGTCTGCCACCTGCAGGCCTTTGCCTGGAGGACTGGCTGGTCCACCCATACCCTCAATGCCTGTTCACTCAGGGTCTTGTGCTAGGGAGTACGGAGGGCAGCTCAGGCAAAGGCCTGGGGAGCCTCAGAGAAGGTAGTAGGGGAACATGAGCAGGTAAGAGACAGCCACTAAGACTTCCTCCTCACCCACCAGTTCTTGGTCCCCATCCAGGATGTGGCCACAGCCCTGAGCAGCTTTTATGCAACTGGAAAGGGCAGTTTGTGGTCTGTCTGACAAGGAAAGCTCCCTCCTGCTGTGTTCGCAGCACTCTTACACAGGCGTCAGCTGGCAATTCACAAATATTTTTGGAAGAGAGGAAAATGAAGGGTAACTTTCAGTTGCCTTTGGAGCACTAGAAAGAAGGGAGATATCAAGGGACAGAGGCTGACAGCAGTTCACAGAGGCCAGCCAAGTCTCCAGCAGCTGCCATGGAGCAGGAGGGAAATGGGTGACTGGACCTGTACAGTGTGCCTGCCACTGGTACACGGAGATACTCACTGGGAGCAACTGTGGTCTCCCCGGGAGGGCCTGCCAGTGTCACTGGGACATGTAAGGTGCTGCTCGGGTCTGAGGATTCGATGCCCATCCGAGTGACATTTCTCTGATTGTCTGCATCTTCTGGCTGTTCCTCCACCTTCTGGAGACAGGTGCTGGGTAGCACGTGCACAGGGGCTATGCCCATCACCCCACTGGCCTCCAGGCCACAGTGAGGCTCCCTGCAACCAAAAATGCACAGCAGAGTCTGATGCAGCCCCAAACTCCTATTTCTGCAAACCCCAGCTTCTTATACCTCTACCCAGGCCAGGTAAATCTCGGACAACCTCCTGTGCTCCTCTGGTGTTCTGTAGGGATTCTATCACCCTATACAATTCTGTCTTTAGGTACAGGGCTGACTCATCCGTCTGTCCCAGGCACAGAACCCTGGCACTACTGGCCTCACATTATGTATGTGGAACACAACTGTTGGAAGAACAAATTAGTCTGGAGAGGGACACTTCCCTGAGCCACCCACCCAGGGGCCATCCAAGTGCTCCCCCCAGGCAAAGACCCAGCACAGAGTTTTGTACTTGATGACAGTAGTTCTGTGGGGCTGGTCCTGGGCCCTGGACTCCAGCCGTTTGTCCTGGTTGGTTTGTGGCCAATCCATAAGTACAGAGGCCTCAGCCTCCAGGCTCCTGCCCCAGGCCTCTTGCAGAGTCACAGCTAAGGAGCAGGTGGGCAGCCTGCTTGTCAGGGGCACTCAGCCTGGCCCCCTGGTGTACTGCCCTGCCCATCAATCTCCTAACCCTCACTGGCCTCTCCTTCCTCCATGATCCAATCTTCTCTTTTCTCCCAAGGCCACTCTGTTCTTCCTAGGTCAAGGTGTCCCAAATGTCTGGTGCCCCCTAAGCCCGACGGCCGATGTGGCACCAAGATGCCCTGCCAAGCCGTTCTCAGAGGGAATTGGGCAGGTGGAGCACGGGCAACCTGGTCCAAGTCACCCTCTGCTATCAGCCAGGACATTGGGGCCCAGCATCACCCTGGGCCAACCCCACCCCCACCACAGAGGGAAATAGGGGCCCTGGTCCCAGGACTATAAGGTCACCAGGCCCACTGCTTGTGCTTACGCACTTGGGCTGGTGGTTCCGTATCTCCTTGTCCGCCTCCACCATCTCGCCCTCCTTCTCTGCAGCCTCCTTCTCTGCGGCCTCCTTTTCAGTGGGCTCGCGAACAGACAGCACCTTGTGCCGCACCCGGTGCCGTCGCATAGGCTCCTCACCACTCTCTGCCTCCCTGGAACCGGCCCGGGGGCCCCGGTGCCGCAAGCGCCTCTCGCTCTTGGCAGTAGGTGCAACGCCTTCCTTGCCCTGGTCTGGACCGTGCCGGTGAGCACGGTGGCGCCGGGGCTCGCGCTCAGCAGCCTCCTCCGGGGAGCCCCGCCGGTGATGCCTTCGTCCGCCCTCAGGGCCAGGGCCCCTGCTGCGCTCGCTCCGGGACTCCAGCGCACCTGCCGCGTCCTTGCTGCGACTGCGGTGTGGACGTGCCCGCTCCTCCCGTGCTCCAGGTTCCACACTCTCCGCCTTCACAGCATCAGCCCTGTCCTGTTCGCCCACTGCGGGGACCACAGCCGGAACTTTGTCCCTGTCACGATGTCGGTGGTGCCGTCGTGGTGGGTCTACACCCTCGGTGACCTCCGTGCCCTCGGGTCGGGCTTTGCCCCCCATGGGACCCCGTGGGCCATCCCGCCCTGGTGGTTCCACCACCAGAGGCCGGTCCAAGTGCGTCTTCATGTCTGGTCTTAGGTGGCGCGTGGTTGCGTAGCGCATCCGCTCCTCCGGGTCCATCTCACTGCACAGCGCCTCACAGCTGGCCCGCAGGTTCTGCAGCCGAAGCTGGCTGGCCCGCTGCTCCCACACCGAGCGAGCCTTGGCCGAGCTCTGCTGCCTGCTGTGGGGAGACTGGCAGTGAGTGTTGGCCCGCCCAGCCCCTTCTCTCTGTCTCTCAGGGAAGCCACGGATGAACACACAGCAATGGAGGGATGAAAGAGTGGTTGCAGGGAGGAGAGGAAGGAAGGAGAGGCGGCAGAAGCCCCCAAGACCACTGGCAGGATGTAGAACAAGAGGGGAACATCCAAGGGACCCAAATTCAGCTCCACTTCCCCTGGTGTCCCTTGGAACCCATAGACCATATTAGGCTATATGCGTGGGGGGGGGGGGGTGCTCAAGGCCACTCTGGAGCGGATAGATGGTGGCCACGAATCCTGGGGTACACGGCAGTGGGAATGTGAGGCACCTCTAAGAGGTAGCACGGGCTTCCAGGGCAAGTCAGCTGCTGGCCAGGTGGGTGGGAGAAGGGAGGAGCACTGTCCTAATGGGGATGCAGATGCAAAGGCTCCCCTGCAGCCCCCCGGGGGGATGGCCCCACTCCAGCAGGAGAGCAGAGCTGCTCCAGAGAGGCCAAGTAGACACTTCCCCACTGCACCTCCCAGGAGGAAAGCCACCAGCCAGGAGAATGGGAACCCATATAAGAGGCTTAAGCTGACAGAGGATCTGGCCCTCTCAGGAACAAACAGTGCCTCAGCTGCTCCCCAAGACGGTCAGCCCTGACTGGGAAGCCACTACCTGGCTCAATGGCAGGTCTGTGGCTGGTGACATCCCCTCCCATGGTCATGAATGTCCTCCTTCCTCTTGTTTCCATGGAGAACCTCTTCCTCCATCAAGAGCAGAGCCAGACATGGCCCTCAGAGCCCTCCGGCACCAGGGTGGCCAATGGTCTGAGCTTGACCCTCACTGCGTAAGCTCCTGAAGGCTGTGATCCACCCTCCACCTCAACAGCCAAGGCACCGCTGTTCCCATGGCACATGCGGGGCTGCACAGCATGGAGTGCATGTGAGGCCTTTGCACTCTGGGTTCTTTGATGAATAAGACCACCAAGGTAGGTGACCCAAGCCACGACTTTACCAGGCAGAAACCTCATCAGAGGCCTGAGCCTTATCCTCCAGCTGCTGGAAGTTCCTGGAGACCTTGGCAATGATGGTAGCACCATTAGTAAAATGGCCATGGAACTGGTACTCTGGGCTGTATGCCCATCTCAACCAGTCCTTTCAGCCATCCCTGTACCCATTTCACAAGGGAAGACACTGATCCTGGAGAGAGGACTTGACCTGATCAGAGTCGACAGTGAGTCACTGATGAAGCCAGGATCCGATGCATGCAGGGACAGGAGGGGAGAAGACACAGGCTGCAGCCAGGCCCAACTGCACTGACAGCAAAGATGCAGCTGCCCCTGTGGCGGCCAGGTCACCACTCCCACCCTGCAGCCAGTGTGTGGGAAGCCACCACCAGGGGCAGTACCTGGCAAGTATGAAAGCAGAGGAGCACCATGTTGGTACCCCACCTCAGAGCCCAGGCAGGGATGAGCAGGGTGACATGTGGAAGCCATCAGTTGGTCCAGGGCCTCAGCTGTCACCTGTTCCCCCAAGACATTGAAGTTATATAGTCCCCTGCTCCCAAGAATTCCCTGCAACAGACCCACAGGTCTCCTGCCCCAAGCTGGCACCATCTTTCAACTCCAGGCAGCGTGAAATGCAAAAGAGCCATGACACGCACACGCCAGGCACGGGAGCTTTGGGCAGGCTGGTTTTGTCTGGTCACTGCTGCTGTCTGGTAGCAGCCCAAGACAGGTCTGGACTATAAGCCATTTGGTCAACAAATAGGTGGTTCACTCAGATGAAGCCACAGCCTGAGGCCAAGATCAAGTTCTTTATCAAAAAAAGATAGACCATGAAGGACATGTGGGGACTGGCAGCTCAGTTTTAGACACAGGCAGGGATGGGCTCTATACCACATAACTGCCCTCAGCCTTGCCCCAAGAACAGTCCTCTCTCTCTCTCTCAGGAACCACCTCAAGTCTAGCAAAAAGCCAGAAAGTCTGTGGGGCCAGAGGTGCCATCAGGCTGGCAGGGCCTCTCATGACTACCCAGAGAGAGGACCACAATAATCAGCTGTGCAAACACTGCCCAGCCGTCTGCATCAGCCACCATAGCCCCACTCTACCGGTCCCTATAGGTCGGTATGCTACTCTGGGCCCTGATATCACAGAGACTGTCTACATCTACACATAACCCAGTTGGTACCACTGGGCTTCTCTATGGATGAAGCCCCTGAGCCTGAACATACATATGCAACATACGCACCAGGTCTTTCCTCCTGTATGTCCCTGGATCATCCTGCCCTTGCCCTGGCCAAGGTCTCTGTACTTTCTCTGTCTGGCACATAAACCCCACTGAATTCTGCTCAGTTTGGCCAGTGCAGGTCTCTCACTCTGTAATTTCTACTGAGATCACAGGCAGTTCAAGAACCTAATGCAATGTGGCTAGTGACTAATCCAGACAAGGTTCTTATTAAAAGGGATCTTTAGGGAATCACATGGAGAAGCTGTTCCCATGATGTCGTGGCCCTATCTTGCAGGTGCAACCCCCATCCATACTAGGGAGGACAACTTACCATGCCCAACTCAACACTGTGGACAATCACAGGGCTCAGAAAGGAGCCTTGAGGATCTCAATAGCACTGCTTTGAGGTCTCTAGGTTCAGCCAGGCAGTTACCCATAACTGTTGACAGTGTGGAGCAGCCGTGTTCTGAAACCATCAATACCTGCATCAGCATCTTACTCTGCCACGTGAATCAACTGTTCAAGATCCAACATGTTTCCTTATTTTTTACCCTATGAGACATCAGACTCCAACAGCCAGCAGCAAACAGGGATTGGGGGAAGGCAGCCCAGCTCTATTTTGGCATCAAGAAGATGCACAGGCAGGGCTGCTGGGAGCCTCACCACCACCAAGACACAGAGAGGGCACATGGCCACTTCCATCCAGGTGGCCCAAATGTACCTGACCACTCAGGTACCCTCACCTGCAGGGCCTCACGTCATTCTCAAGGGGAAATCCCTGGGGACCAGTCGCCCAGGAACACTCTCCAGGAGGAGATGTGCAGGGAGAAGTCAGCCAGTTGAGAGCCTCCTTGGGGTCTTCATGGCTCTACCTGGTCCATGTGCCACAAGCACCACAGTTGGACAAGAGCTCTGCTCTTGGACAAGGACTTCCTCAGAGTCACTGAAACATTCCCCCCAAGTAAGGGGAAATTCTAAAAACCACAAATGTCCCCAGTGAACCCCAAGAACTCTCTCCGCCGTCCCTGCATAAAAGATCGTGGCCTCATAGGACCCACAGGAGACCTGGGCCCACAGTGCTCCATCCACTCAGAGAAGCAGATACACCCAAGACACCAGACTGACTGCACATGGACAGACAGCAGACAGGAGGATGGAAACCAAGAAGGGGAGCAGGAGGGGCTGAGATCAGAGAGGGCTGACTGAGCCTGAAAGCAGGACTCCAGGAGGCCAGGAAGTGTGCCCACCATTCCCAGCCCAGGCTGCAGAAGGCTGACCTGGAGCTGCCCATGAAGCAAATGACTTAGGTGAGAAAGCAGAGTTAGGAGTGGAAGGAAGATGTGTACACGTGTCAATCATGGAGCCACGGATGGAATATCGTAGCAGAGCGACTCACGGTGAATCTACGCTGGAGACAGATGAGCTGCGAGACACAGTACCTCGAGTTCGCTTTACAAAACTGCACATGCAAGAAACAAGACATAGACAGAAGTGAGAAAAACAGAAAGTTCTGAAAGACACTAGCAACGCTTGAGCACCACACCAGTACGGGCGCAGGCTGCAGTGTGCATCTGGGCAGGAGGCTGGAGACACGTCCATCAGACGGGCACCAGCTGACACCTCGGGGCAAAAAAGAAGTTGAGAACCAAATCTACACACACACAGAAAAGAAACTAAAGTAACACAGCAAACCCTACAATGGCTAAAAGACGAGAAGCAGTTATTTGGAGGGGCCCATTCATCCACTGAGGCTCCACCCACGCTGCTCTGAGAAGCCCTGGGTTAGGAGGAACTGTACCGCCTTTCCCATAATTCCACCCAGTCCTTCCCCTCTGCTGCAGGCCTCTGTGGCAGGCCAGCCCAGAGAAGCACAGACAAGAGAACAAGGAGACCACAGCCACCCTTACCTGACGTGCTGCTGGGGGCCCTGCTGCCTGCCCCACCTGCCTTCCTAGGAGCTGCTCCCAGGCCCTCAGGTCCCCAGGCTCAAATCCAACTGCTCTCAGGTCACCATGACCTCTCCAGGGGCAAACCAGGCAATGCCACCAGCCCAACTTCCCTAGGGATATAACTCCAGTCACTTGCAAGTAACTTTGCTGCAGCTTTTCCAAAACCAATAGAGAAAACCAGCATCTCTTCACAGCCATGACCTTCACCCTGGCTTTTCCAGAGAGGGCCAGGTGGGTTTTCCGGGCCTCCTTCTCAAGGCCAGGTCTTTGCACAATTCTAAGGCACACAGAGCAGCTCTCCTGCCCACAGGCCCTGCGTGCAGACAGGCATGAGTGTATGACAACATGAGAGCGTTGAGACTATGACTGTGCATGAATGTAAGTATGTGTAAGTGTGCGAGCATGTTGTGAATGTGCGTATGTGCACAGCCACTCAGAAGGTGAGGACGAGGGTGCCACTGCCAAGAGAACTGGGAAGACAATGTCAAGCTTAACATCCCTCCCCTCTCAGGCTCCTGAGTAAGCTGCCACCTAGGCGACAGACACAGACCTGATCGCAGGGATCCCCACACTGTCCACAGAGCATGAGGTCCTCTTGCACCTGAGGCACCATAAAGTGTCCCTGCAGAGCACCCATGCCATGAGGCATGGTGTGAAGAGCAAGGTCAGGGAGCACTGGGGGCTGCACTCCTGCCTGGTCCAGCAGCTTAGGCCACAGAAATGAGTGCACAGGCATCTCCAGCCCTCAGGGGTCTCAGCAGGGTGGGTGGGAAACCCAGCATTGGGGGCCCTCACATCCAGCACCCATGCACACCCAAGGACAGGCCTTGCCCAGTATAGATCCTCCCTCATGCCCAGGAGGTTGATCCCGCAGTGTCACACACAGGACCTCTGTGGTTTCACCACATCACCAAGTACGGGCCACAGCGGCATCCCTGGCAGGGTCTGTGGGACCCACAGTCCATCCAAGAGGGGACACAGGCAGCCCTCACAGATATGAAGGCTGTGACCCTGGCTCTGGAGCTAACACTTCACTTGGGACCCTCCTGAGGCAGAGCACCTGTGGGTCCCAGGAGAAGAGAAGCACTTTTTCCACTCAGAAACCACCACAGTGCTCAGGCCAACAGCCGATGTCACGTGTGGCCTGTACCTGGGATGCCTCGACCTGCACAAAGCGTCTCCAAACAGGGACAGTGATAGCAGAGGAGGAGTGGTCTAGACCTCCTATCTAGTGGCTTGATGCACCCTCCATGGCACTCTTCTCTCCAAGGTCTCAGCTGGATGGACGGGGCCACCCTCCAGCACACCCATGGGAATGGCAGCCCTGAAGAGGGCAGGGCCCAGGACAAACACTCACCCCCAGGAGCAACAGAGAAGGCAAGTGCCAAACAGAAACATCAAGAGGCCACATGAGGCCAGGAACCCAAGAAGCCAAATGCTGCCCTGCCACCCTCTGTCCAGCAGACAACACCAGCGTACAGAGCTCACCTGTAGGATGCAAGAGGACAGCCTGCAGATCACTGCAGTTACACCAACCACCTAAGCAGACAACTGAACTGGACAGACAACGAAACACAACTGAGTACGGAGCCACCGACAGCCCCATGACGATGGCTTTGTCCTCAACCTGCCTGGCTCGCTGCAGGGTCCTAGGAGCAGGGGAACAGCTGCTCTCTTCCTGAGGAACCTCCCCTGCACTTTCTGCCTGGCGAAGAGACAGGTCCTCTGCAAACACCATCTCCCAGGGCCTTTACGGGTGTGTGTGCACACGCACACAGACACACACACACACAAACCAGTTGCCTCACAGCATGCTCATCCAAATGCCACAAAATACTCAGCAGTGCAGGCATATGACACCACAGAGGTGCCATGGCTATGCCTAGCACTATGGTCAGTGGCCACAGAAAGGAAATGGTCAGCACAAGAAGGGTGAGTGGTGGGGTGAATGCGCATCCAGGCAGCCAGCAGCTGCACAATCAGTGGTCGGAGACGAGGCGCGGCCGACTTCTCTCCCCTTCCTAGGCTGCTGCAGCCTGTGGCACTCTGCCCAAACTCTATAGTCCCTTGAAGTCCCCAACCCTCCACATGTGCACTGTACTTACTGTACCTGAGTCCACGGGACAGGAGATTGAAGACTGGCTTTCCTGCAGAAGTCGGCTCTGCCCTGTATCCATCCTATCTCATTACAGAAGCTCCCCTGACCTCTATCCCAACACCAAACACTTGGAGATGTTTGGGGAAGCTGCATCAAATTCCTGGGCTCCTGAGGAGCCACCTAGAACCTCTTGGCTCACAAAACACATTTTTAGAAAGCTGTATATAAACTCCATGTGCAGACTCCTCACCCCGATTGAGTCCCAGGCTTTGCCTGGAGGGGGACCTGGAGCCGCCCTGAGACATCCTAGTGAACAAGTGCTGTGGCTGAGCCAGGTCCATCCACACTGCGAGGACTGTACCCAGTATACCCTGCCCATGCTCAGACTGGAAGAATGTCACAGAGCCTAGACAGCCCAGGAACCCTTTGTTCCAGGCTTCTCCTAACACAGGTTCAGGGCTGAGAGGTGTCCTCACAAGTCCCAGCTAATGCAAGGCATGCTCAGAGAAAGCCTTTGGAAGTGGGGACCTGGTGTGACCCAGCCACAGCCACCCACAATCTGCTCCCAAGAGTCTTACGCAGCAATGGAGATGTTGGCAGCAGACATGGGGCTGACTTCAGCCACTTCCTTGGCTTTCTGCAGAGCCAGCTTCTGATTGGCTGCTTCTTCCATCTCCTCTTCATCCTGTGTGAACAAGAGAAATATTTGTCCCTCAGAGGACCACTCTAAGGCCATTAGCTTTCCCTCAGTGCCCCTCCAGCCCTCTGCATCATGGGACCAGCCCCTGCATGGACATGGTCCATTAGTTCTTCCTCCCAGGACCTCAGTGCCCCTCCTTCCCTCAGCACCATGAAGTTGGGTGGCAAGCCCCTGTGTGCACATGCTTTCCCTATGAGCAGCCACAAAAGTTCAGGACCTCCCCACCAGGTGGCTCAGAGATTATGGTCTCCAGATTCCTGCCTCTCAAGCTGATGATCCCACTCCTATATGAGCACCCTGACCCTGAGCCGAGCTCCAGATAGCAACTGACTGCCCGGACATATCTGCCTATTTGTACCATGCACCTTAGACTTGCTTATCCAGTCAAAGCTGCCCCTTTTTTTATCCTCCTTCCCTCCCAGAGGCACCTGTCACATTTGAGCAAAGCTGGTCTTTCACAGGGCTTATGACTAGGTGCTAGCCAAGCACTGCACACAAGGGCTTTCACCATCAATTTTCAGTGGGGCTATATGCTTCTTTGAGTTTTCCTGACTGGACCCAGCAGATTACATCTGTCTACTCATTCCCATCCGTGACAATGAAGCTCCTTGTGGCTCTGACACCAGGGCCGAGAATGTGTGTGTGTGTGTGTGTGTGTGTGTGTGTGTATACGCACGCATGCACGTAGGCACCTTTGCCCCTGTCTATGAAGAGGAATGGACATCTGGACAGACCCTCTGGCCCTGACCCCAAGTCACTAAGCAAAACCAACATGCAATGCTCCTGTGTTCTGGGCCCCAGAAGGAAAGTTAAGACCTCCACAGTGTCCATCTGGACTTCTGTGGCCACCACAGTTCCCTCAAAATCTCCAAGTCCAAGCACACCTGACTCCAACATTCCTCAAAATGTCCTTAAATCTGCATTTAAGGGCACAATAATGGCAAAAACGAAATCCCCTGGTAGCTGCCTGAAAATGTCTACCACAGAAGAGAGACACTTATGCTTCGGGCCCAGAAATGAGACAAAGCTGATCCACCACACAGCATTCCCAGACAAAACCTCTAGGGAAGGGGCATCTTAATCATTCCAAAGAGTGTTCTCAAGTCCCCTCGGAAAGGTCTACAAACAATTCAATTTGAACTTATTTCCACTTCATAAAATAAGTAATGTTACATCTGTGGAAATATAAAGGAAGACAAGAACCAAGTCATACCCCTTGGGGCTCATGGCCAGTCCAGGAAATGCCATATGGCCAGGAAACGGGCCTCCAATGGTACAGGTTCCCAAGGCAAAGGAATTCCTAACCAGAAGCCACCACCAAGGCTGGCTGCGCATGGACAGGGCCCTGAAGACATGCATCCTCAGCATGTCCTCACCCACAGCAGAAGCTGCAAAGAGTGGCAGCCTCCAAGCTTCAAGCTCACCACCATCCAAGGGCAGCTGGTGTTCAGGTCAACAAAAATGAGCAGCCCAAGTTCGCATGGTCCCAGAAACACCGATACAAAGGACAGCTCTGGACCCAGCAGATTACATCGTCGGTTCCCCTAGCCCATTACCCAGCCCTAGTCTCAGCCCTGGCTGATGATACCAACAGGCAGGCCAGTGGTGCTCCCAAGTTCTCAGTGGGCAGAGACCAGAGCAAGGGAGAAGTCTAGACCCACAGGCATACCCAGGACCTGGGATGGGACGGGGGAAGGCTGAGCTGAAGCAAAGGAAGGCTCATGGCCTGAAGCAGGCACACTGCACAGGCCATGCCCTCGTCCAAGTGCTGGGCGAGGGTGGACCAGGGATATCTGAGGGTACATGCTCAGTCATACCTCCCAGAGACCTACACCTCTGGTGTCTGCAGAGAGGGGCCCTGAACTTGCCTTCCTCAGCTCCAGGACAGGGTAACAGTGGACCAGAGTGACTAGACTGGGTCAGTCTCAGAGACGTGCAAAGGTACACCGGCAGACACTGTCTGGGCTTGGTAGCACGAACAGGAGAGCAAGCAGCATTACACACAGAGAAAGGCACACTAGCAGTACACACCCAACATACTGTGCACTACTTGGGACATCTGCAACATGGCACATGCCCCACCAGGTGGCAGTGCCTCCACACTGGAGCTGGGACTCAATCAAAGCACAAGCCTGAGAATGTGACAGCAGGTGGGCCAGTCACACAGTGTCCAGGGCAGTGGAGGTGAAAGTGACCTGGTATGGGGCCATGTCATCTGGAGGAAAACCACAGAGGGAGTGTGTGTAACCACATCCCCCACTGGGCTTGGGGATGAGGTAAATGTTGAATGGCACCTGCTGGGCACTGACTGCCTAGAGGAGGAGCTGTCCTGCTGTGGCATAGATGTGCTGAGGCTTGGCCACCAGCTGCTCCTCCAGGCTACAGCCAAGTCCAGTGCATGAGGGAAGCTCCACAGGTATCCCCTCGCCGCCCTTCAGGGTCTTCAGAGCAGGGCCTTCTCTAGGGCCCACAACATGCATCCCTCTCTGACGGAACACCTCTCCCCATCACACACCTGTTCAGACTCGTGGCCCCATAAGCCATCATCCCTCAGGCTGCCCCCTGCTCCCCACAGCCCATCCTGCCCGTGAAGGCCTTTCCTCACAGGCCACGACATCTCTGGATGCCTGCCCACATGTGGGCCTGCCTTCCTGTCTCTCTCTACTTCTACAGCTGCAATCCCTGATCCCCTGAGCCAGAGCCCAGCCTCACTTCTCTTCAGGACCTTGAGAGACTACCCTGGACACACAGGGCCCTAGCCCAGGACCTGGTCCTCCTCATGACTCTGCAATTTCATCCACAGTGACCTGGACTGATCCCCTACCCTTCTTGGCACCCAGGCTGCAGGGGGCATCCCTACATACCTTGGTCAGCTCCTGGGCATTGGCAAGGTTGTCCACAGCGATGGCCAGGAAGACATTCAGCAAGGTGTCTGGTTGATCAAGCTAAGGAAGGGAACTCTCTGGCCCACACTGTCCCGCAGAGTCACACCATGGTTGCCCAGGGAAAACAGGAGGCCCCATCTCCCTGGATGGCAACAAGTCTCCAGCCTCCTTCCCTGAGCATCCACCAGCCCCCTCAGAACTCACCGTCCCAGATGCACCAGCCCAGTCACCGGCTGCATCTCCCTGGTCTCTGCTACCACCAACTCCTCTGCCCAACCATCCTCCAATCACCCAACTTCTACTCATACTGATGTGGACCCTTTCCTCACCCCAGCCTTTGGGAGCTGAAAATCTAGGCCCAAAGCTTAGAGACTGTACTGGCACAATGTGCCTTTGCCACCTAGAGAGGGCACAGTCCACCTGCCTCTCCCTTTTCTGGTCAGCATGAGAAGCCTTGCAATGAGCTTGCCCAGGCTCCAGCTGGGGCTCCACCACCTACCTCCCAGTCCTGTGACCAGAGCCCACCAAGTCACATGGTAAACACACATCAGCTCCTTCCAGGCCCCAGCCGGGTTCACAGACCCCTGTCAGTCTCACCCTTCCTTTCAATCCTGTCCCAACAGGAAGTCCTAGGCACTGCTCCTTGAGCTAGAAGGGGGCACACAGTGCTCTGAGCACCCAGAACTGCACCCCACCCTGAGTGGATCCCAGGGGCCCTGTGCTGCAGGGCTACCACCCCTCCTTCAGGAATGAGGAAGCCAAAGCCACGAAGGGTCCTGCGAAGCCCAGGTCTCCTCCCCAAATCTCTCCAGGACCTGGCCCTTTTTCTGCTGCTACCACGAGTCACCAGGGTATCCCTTGCAAAAGGAAACCTCCTTCTATTGCCAGGTGTCACCTCTTCCCATAGCTTGTCTCACTACAAGTAGAACTTCTTCTGCAGGACTGTCCCCTGTGATGGTGTCAGGGCCCCTGCTGCAACCAGGGCTGGTTGTGCCGGTTTTGACCATCTCAGCTTGCTCTCCTAAGTCATCTCATCATTTCAGAGGTTTCAGTCGTGGCACTGCTGACACACTGGGCTAGGTAATCCTTGTTGTGAGGTGTTGAGCAGCATCCCTGGCCTCTGTCCACTCCATGCCAGCAGCCCCTCAGTCATGGTAACAAAAAATGTCTCTGACACTGCCAGGTGTGACTGTCCCTTGGGGAAGGATGCCCATTAGAATGCACAGACTTGAGCCCCTTTTTCCCAAAATCTAGGGGTTCACCTTGCTCAAGTCTCTATTCTCTGGGGGGCTCTGCCCAAATTGCAGCTGGCCAACATCAATGACCTGGGTAGGTCAGGCCACTCTCCAGTTGCACAGGTGCCCCATTTCCTGAGACTCAGGGCAACCTAAGGCCCACGACACTATCTCATAGCCAGTCCTGCTCAGGACTCCAATAGAACCCACAAGAGTGAATACTGAGGCCAGGATGACGCTAACTAAGGAGGATACCTCCGAGCACTAAGTACTACCAGATCTTTTACAAAATGTTCTATGCCCACAGCAGAGCTAAGGGCCACACTCTGGACACTCAACAGAGGGGCATGTGGGTACAGCCAGGAGCCATTCTGATTGACTAGGGAAGAGGATCTTGGTGGCCAACATGCCCGAACTACTGCTCTGTCTTGGAGTGGTAGTGCCCCTCTCTGGACATTGGCCTCTCCTCTGAGGATAACACTGCAGCCTCCTTCCCTCTCTGGCTACCACAGCTGCACTTCCTTGCTTTGTCCACACTGGGGATCCAGGCCTACCATCTCCAAAGCAAACTCGGTCCCTCAAACCCAGGCCCTCCCAGACCTCACACTCAGCCTCAGCAGAGGTGGGACCCCTGACCTGGGGCTCTGGGCCTGAGCTGTAACCTGAAAGCCCACGCTTGCAGATGTGAGTCCCTACGGGGACTAGCCCCAGAGACAGAAAAGGAAGAGGAGTCAGAGGACAGAAACAAGGGGAAGCACAGCAACACCCAGAGGGCTGAGAAGGACAGAGAGAGGTGGCCAGGTGTGTGGAGGTCAGTCATGTGCAAGAAGGTGAGAGGTGAGCAGAGCAGGCAGGTAGGCGTGGGGCAACTCAGTCTCTGTCTGCAGCTCAGACCTTTCTCCCCGACTCCACAGGACATTATGCCACCAGGGTTCCTAAGGCACACAGGCACTCCCTGAGAACCTGCTGGAATATATGCTCTCAGGCCCCAACCCAGCCCTGCTCAGTGTGACACTGGGCTAGGGTTTTAAACCCTTGGGGGTCGGATGCCCAGGTGCGTTCCAGAACCGGAGAGCTCTCCTTGGCCTGCCCTTCCTACCTCAGCTACAGTTCTCCTGGCCTTCAACCTGGCTGGCATCATGAGCCCTGTACAGTCTCTGGATGTTCCTTGGCCCCAGCCTGAGGGAGAGCTTGTCCCCTGCTGTTGGCCTGCCTTGGCCCTTGCAGACCTGCCCTTTGGCAGAAGACCCTGGAGCAAAGCCCACTGCTGCCAATCACAGAAGGCTTTCTCTGCGCCTCTCTTCACATTTTCAGCAGGGGAGGTTTTTATGACCTATGTTCCAAAACTTAATCAAAGAAGGAAGCAAACCTGCTGTCCTGATGCTCTAAGTCACCACCTCTCTGCAAGGTCCCCAAGGCTGCTCAGAGTGTTTTTCCTGAGCTACAGCAGGTTCTGCCCACCTGCCCCCACCTCCAGACACCACGTAGAGCACCTTTAGACCCAGGGCCCAGGTCATCCAGAGGATGCTCACTACCCACACCTAGCTCTGAGAGCATGCAGCCAACACACCAGTGGCCTTCCAGGAGGGAGCAAGAGGCAGCCATGGGGAAAGCATGCAGAGTGCTGACCACCTGCACGCCAGCCCCACAAAAGGATACAGTTTCCAAACAGCGTCAGGACGATGAAGTAAAAGGAGGAGAACATGCCTTTGCTCACTCCACCTTGAGATTCTATCCCATGATACATCACTGCATTCCAGTCCTCTCCTGTTAGGATCTGCAGAAGAGAGAACACCACAGGCATGGCCGCCTCACGCCCACTTACAGGCAGGGCCCGTGCACACATGCAGGCCTTGACAGCGGTTCTGGAGACACAGAAGCCTAGAAACCTGCAGAGAAACCTCCTGAAGGACATGACTTCTGACCTGGATCAGGTGAAAAGATGAGCACACTCTGGGTTTTCAGCCAAAGTGGAAAGGGCAAGGTGAGCAAAGGCCAGCAGGAGGGCAGGCAGAGGGGCAGAGTCTCCCCAACAGCCAGAGCTGACCACACCCCAGATTTGCCATCGAGGAAGCTGTGGGGCAGAGAGGGGAACAAGCTCTGCACACCAGGCACACACAGGACAGAATCAGACCACAGGTCAGTCCTCCACTTGCTGCTGGCATTCAAAATGCCACTGTGAAAGAGGTGCCAGGTGTGTGGAGGTCAGTCATGTGCAAGATTTTTCACCTAAACTGCTGCCGCATTTCCTTCTGTCTATTCACCCACCTTCTTCTCTAGAGGCACTTTAAGGTTTTGCTACTACGTCTCTGGGGCACATGTCAAAAAGTCAGTCTAGAACGGGCATTCCTGGGGAGGAGGCTACCCACATCTTGGACTTGTAGACATTTCCAGAGTGATCACCCAGCAATGTGGGGTTCTTTCCTCACATCATCACACCCTCCTTGCCATGACATACTCTGCCAACTCCCAGTCTGGTGGGGGGAGGCTGGATACCTCCCCAGCCCAGACCATGGGGCCTTTCCCATGCCTGCCTTTCAACCCATCCACATGTCCGGCAGCACTTTCTCTTACCGGACTGAGTCTTCCTTATGCATGCTTGCATGTACCAATCCACTGTCTGCACTATTCAGTGGAAATATATTCTATTCTCCTGTTTTTACTTAGATATTATAAAAATGATAATATTATCAAATCTACCAGCCTTTTCCTCTGTGGTTTCTGCTTTTTACACTTTGTGGAAGAATTTCTGTCCGTCCCATGGTCATAATAATATTTCCTTTGAATCATTTTAAAGAGTGATTTTTTTCCACACTCTGAGAATCTGTGGCAATGATGATCTAACTTTCCTGTATGGAAACCCATTCCCAGACCCATTCAGTGTACCCTTCCCCCACCCATTTCTACTGTGCCTCTCTTGCACAGCCTCTTGTCCACATCTGGGCATGCTTCTGGCCCCCGGCTCTCCTTAGAGAAGGTCTCAGAGGCACCACACCATCGCATGACTGCAACCTCATTAGTCTTGACATCTGGGCGGGCAAAGGCCTCCTTCCGTGGCTACTCCCGCACGTTTCCCCTGCATGTTCAGAGTGCTATCAGGCTCTGTTGGGGCCTAGCACTCTGCCCACAGACCTCCAGTTCTGGTCTACATCTTGCGCGTCCACATTGCCTTGCACAGCTCGGGGTGGAGGAAATGACTTCTCCCCTACTCTCATGGTAAGTAGGCTAGCTATCACTTGTTTCTTGAAGGCTACGAATAACTCACCTCATAACCAATGGCCCAGGACAGGAAGCAGAAAGACTAAAGCAAGTTTTGACTATTGACCTATTTGAAAATGCTTATAAAATGTCCCCATTTTTCTTTCTTCTTAGGTCATTTGTGTTTTCCTCCAAAAATGCATATTTCATCTACATTTTCAAATCTATTGGCATTAAGAGTTGCCAACTTTTAAAAAATAACCCTTTTTAATAGTTACGACTTCCAGTAGGGCTAGGGTACTTACTTATTTTTAACTTTTCTTTTATAGTGTCTATCTATTTAAATGACAACAAGGATGCCTTTGTAGTATAACAATCATTCAACATCTATAGGAATTTCCTAGGTGATCAGACAAAGGGCCAAACACACTGTTTGCCCAATGAGCATGCCACTCACTGCTGGCTGGACACAGCGCCGTCGGCCAGGTCTGCTTGCTGCATCCACAAGCTCTCGCCACCTTCACCTTTCAGTTTAACGGAGGCTGGCGCAGATGTGTTGTGAGGCACTGTTCCCACCAGGTGTCTGGGGTGTGCTGGCGGCCAGGTGAATCTACAATGGCAGCATCAGATGCAGCACCCCCTGCCCTTCTCTCCTCCTTCTTCTAACCTTACTAGTCCTTCTCTCCCTTCTCTTCCTGAACTTCTGTGTGGGCTAGTGTTCACATTACTGTACCAGCCATCCTTTGGTCAGCATGTATTTAGAGCCACCTTTTTTGTAACCCTTCATTTTTAAAATCACGTATTTTTTAAGAGCTCAGAAAGGTACGATGAATAATTTCTCAAACTTCTGTGTACCCATCACCCAACTTAAGAAATGAAACATCCAAAGAAGGCTGAAGTTCCTTGGCTAGACATCCACAGTCCTTCCTACCCCTGGCGCTGCATGTGGGGCCTGCAGTCGCACCCAGTTTTCATACCCACTGCGTACATACACAACACAATACACTTTATGCTTCCCAGCCTTGCTTAGTTGTGTGTGCTTTGTTTGCATTTTTCGGAAACTTATTTATTTCGTTCAACATTGTGTCAGTGAGATTCATCCCCAGTGATATATTTGGCTCTTGGTCCTGCACCCGCCCCATGCATGGTACTGCACACTTCCCGTGCAGCCAATGATTATCATTTCAGTGATGTCCAATTGTTTTTTGTTACAATTGATGCTGCTGCTATGGCCTTACACGCTTCAGGCAGAGACTTCCCAGAGCACAAGCTGAGGACAGGAACTGCCAACTGTGATCCTCGGTGTGCTGGATGTCACGAAATCCCTCCCAAGAGGTTCCACCTGCCCAACAGTAGTATAAAGGGTCCCTCATTTCTAGTCTTCTCTGAAACCTGATATTGTCATATTTCTTAAGTGTGGGAAAGATTGTCTCACTGTGGGTTTAATTTGCAATAACGTTGACTACAGTTTGTACAAGTTTATTCAGCAGTCCGGTTTGTTTTCCTGCAAGTTACTCATTTATATCCTAGGACACAATTGGTCTTTTTATCTTTGGAAGTTTCCAGTACATTCTGGAATAGTCCTGTTGGAAATGTCTTCTCCCCATCTACAGTGGGGTTTTGTGTTTTGCCTTGTCTGGTTTGCCCATCCTTACCTGGGTGGTCCGTGTTCCTCTTCTCAGAGCCTTCCCTGCCCCACAGTAACCATGACGCCCCTGTTGCTGTGCTTCTAGAATTTCATGTCCGCTTTTCACACTCGTCTAGAACTGACCTGTGTATTCAGTTCACATTTTTATACGTGGACAGCCACACACTGTCCCACACCCTTTGCAATGACACCACTTGGTGTTCTGTGTTATAGATATTTTATCTGTGAGTAACGATGTTTTTCTTTTTTGTTAATCCTGAGAATTCTTACTTTATTTCTTCTTATACTACTACACTAATACCCCTGACACTAGTGTAATCTGCTAAATTTTTATTTGCAAGGAGTGTTAGGTTTTATCTTTTCCAGGAAAAAAAAAATTACACTCCGAACACCAGATGGAGATCACAGCAAGTCCCCAGTGCTCCTCACCCAGCTCTGGAGAGCAATTCTGCAAGAGTTCAGGGGCATTTTCAAGTCACGTGGATTTTCTTCCTCAGTCTGCTAATGCGATGAGTTACATTCATGGACTTTCAGTGTCAGTGCTGGCTCGTGTGTTATGAAGGTAGGTCCAGGCACACCCGGGTCACTAGTGGTTTTCCCCTGGGAAAACGCCCATTTCTGAGAATGGCCTGCATGTTCTTTGTTTCTCATATCCAGGTTATCTAGTCTTATAACATCAATGAAGAGGTTTCCTTTCCACATTCTCTGGAGTAGTATGTATAAAGTTGGAATGACTATTTAAATAGTAGAATTAATTCATAAAACTATCTGAACTTGGTGGCTTGGGTACATTTTTGACATTCAATTTCTGAAGTGATTCAGGTCTCCTACTTCTTGGGTCAGTATTTTTTTCTTCTGTATCATCCACTTAAATGCGTGTTTGCAGTGCTTTCTATAGCCTCGGAGGGGTAGGAACTCTCCACATCTGTGTCTGAAAGTGTCTTCCATTCCACTCTCGCACTTGGGCACAGCTCTCGGGACTCAGCATCCCAGGCTCAAGGAGACAAGACTTCTTTAGTCTTTTCTTTTCTAATTTTCTTTTTTTTTTTTTTTTTGGTGCCAGAGCTTCATGCATGCCCTCTCCTACTGAGCTGCATCCATTCCCCATCTCTTCTGCCTCTACCTTAGCCGCCCTGGGCATCTGCCACCTCAGCTCCAGCTGGCTCAGGTCCTCACGGTCTCCAACGCTGCACCCTCTCTTGCAGAAAGTACAGAGTGAAGTACACCCTTATTCTTTAACTTGAAAATCTCCACTTTTCATTTCTAGGATTTCTATTTAGTGTTTAGTTCATTTTCACTGAATTGCTCTTTGTGTTAGGCACTTTTCCCCATGATTTGGGGCTTTATGGTCCTTCCTCTGCCCTTGGAGAATCAGAGGCGCACTCCGCCTAGAGCCATCAGTGCTCTGTTACTGCCCTTTCACTGGGAGTCGTCTCGCCTTCTGACCACAGGCACTGCTGGTCCTCTTCTGGGCATAGTGTTTACCAGGTTTGGGTTTGGAGGTCACCAAGAGCAAAGTAGAAGCTGCTGTCCCCCTCCATGCATGCCTCCCTGTCCCCACTCTCGCCCACTTCAGAAGCTTCCTTCATGAGAGCACAGGCCCCATCCAGAGGCATCCTGTGCGGCCGACAGCCCTGGCCAGCAGTCTGCACTGCTGCTGCCCTGTCAACCTTGCTAGCCTCCTGCGGCTCTCCTCAGCCTCCTTAAAAGACCCAGCACCCTCCCCAGTGCTCAGAGTGCTGAGTCACATGTGCACACTGCCCACCTGCCTCTTCCCAGACCAAATCCTAGTGTCTGGGTCTATACTGTCTCCCAGGGAATGATTCCAATCTGTTTCTAGTCCATAGAGATTTGGTTTCTGCTTAGCTAGGTCCTTCTATCGTCCTGTTGCTGTGTTCAGAGCAGAGGGCATGGAGTCTGATCACAGTACCTCTGATCAGAAGGATCACCTTTTCTCCTAACTATACCACTCGGGGAAAAGCCTGCCCTGGTATGTAGGGCCCTTCTGACCTGGCTCAGCCCCTGCAGCCCACCTGGCCCTGCCCACCCTCTCACCATACCCACTCTTCCACCCAGAATCCATTTCTCCTGGTTTCCCTCACCTGGTGCCTGGCAGCCCTGGTCCTGGAAGCCCAGGGAAAGAAGAGCCCCTTCCTGTCCTAAGTGGGCTGTATTCCTCAAGGAGCCTATGTCCACCCTCTACGCAGCCACCCTCCTCTGTCTCCTAGGCTAACAGATCCTACAGGAAGCTACTGACCTGTGAGCAACCCAGAGCTGCCCATGCATCAGGGAGAGAAAGGTAGTGTGAGGAGGACGGGCGGGCAGCACCCACACATGGGGACCCAGAGGAGGGGAGAGGAAGGAGGGACAAGCGTAGCACAAGGGCCTGACGGTCCCAAAGCTGAAGTGCCCCTACGGGACACACTCCCTTTTCTGTGGCTGTGACTGAGCTGATGGCACGAGAGGGGGGATGTGAGGAAGGAGGCCACCAAACTTCTCTCTTAGCCATTCGTCTGGTTTGGTTTGGACCATCAGCTGGAAAGACACCCTTTCTTTGAGACAGAGTGGGACACGAAGGCCCCTCCTCACATACATGGATTCAGCTTTGGCCCCCAGAAGCCAAGGGAATGAGCCAAGGTCCAGCCTGGAGTGCACGCTGCCTGTCGAGCCTCCCTGGGAGTCACCACAGGTAGAACAGCAGCAGCCTGCCACCCTTCCCAGCCTCAGAAGGCATCCGAGCAGGTGCCATGGGTCAGGAGTTCATGGCATTACCTCATCAGTGAGGCCAGACCGGCAGCATTTGTGAGGCCACACCCTACAAAATAGTCCATAAAAGGGAGCCCCCCAAGAAGGCAAGGTCACCTGAGCCAACCAGGCCCTGACTTATGGAGTGGCCCAGCCTCAGCTGCCCAGGGGCTATGGTGAGCCAGGTGCAGCCCCAGGTACAGAAAGACAGAGGCACCACGTGGCTGAGACATAGCCAGGTGGAGTTCAAAGAGAGCTCTGGGCTTCTGTCCTCAAATGACAAAAGAAGTGGTTCCAAGTCCTGGAGGCCAAGAGAGAACTGATGGCTTGGAGGCAGTGTCTGCCCTCAGAGATGCACCTACTCCTTAGTGACTCCCAAGCACCCAGCTTCCCTTGAAGCAGGCGATGCACCTGCCTGTGTTTGTGTTCTGCTTGGGGAGGGTTCTCTCCAAGTGCTACATATGTGGTTGTGCTGAGAAGCTAGGGAAGACTAGACCAGGCACTTTCTCAGCACCAGCAGCACCAGCAGTGCTGTGAGCTGAGCAGAGCAAGGCCTCACCTGGAAGACCGTGAGGATGGCAGCCGGAAAGGTGTCGAAGTTGGTCGTTGGAGTCTCATCTTTGAAGTTAAACCTGAGAAAAACAGGAAGTCTTGGGAAGAGGCAACCCCACCAAAAGCAAGGGGAATGGGCGCCTTTCAAGGACCTTCAGGAAGGAAGGCAGGTGGGAGAGGCACCGTCTGCTCTGGGCTCTGCCTCCCTCGAGGGACCTCAGCCTGTCCTCCCCGACAGTTCACTTACTGTCCCCCAAACAGCTGCATCCCCAGGAGAGCAAAGACCACAATGAACAGGAAGAGCAGAAAGAGGAGGCTGATGATGGACTTCATGGAGTTGAGCAGAGACACCACCAAGTTCCTCAGGGAGTTCCAGTACCTGTTGGGAGCCAGGCAGGGTGGTCAAGGACCTAGCTATGGCTAAGGCAGCCTGTTCAGGAGCTAACCTCACACTCACCCAGGCTCTCTGCAGTCACAATGCTCTATAGCCTTCTGAACCCTAAGGGCCCACACCTGCAAATGAGTCTGAGCTTCTCTCCAGGGTTCCAGACATGCCATCTGTGACTTAGTACAGGCCCATGGGGACAGCAGAGACACTGCCTGCCTCACTAGACTCAGGTCATCCTCCCTAACCTACATCCAAGTCTCTTTCCTTGGCAGAATGAAGTAACCACCATCAGTGCCCACGCCTGGGCTTGTTCTTCCTTGGCTTCCGCCCTAAAATGCCCAGCCACCCAGAGCCAACACCAGCACCAGGTGAGATGCAAACTACTTGTCCTCAGCCCACACTGGAAGAAGGAACTACAGTAACCAGGTCTTCCTGGCAGGCTCGGTAGAGTACCCCCTCCACTGAGGACCAGGACACAGGCCACAAGTGCATAGGGAGGGGCACCACACAGGCCATTTCCTAGCACCCCTCAAGGGCCCCTATCCCACTCTCCTGCCTGATCCCTCCATCAGAGGGATCAATAGGCTCCACCTGCCTCTGCTGAAGGCCTTGCTGCTAAGTGGGACTCCACCTACCGCCATCCTCAGACAGGCTCTTCCAGGAGCCCACAGCACCCTTCCCTCCAGGGACCCAGGATCACCCCAGTCCCCCAGATGCTCATTTCCACCTGCTCTTCCTGCCCTAGGGGAGGTGGCCAGATGGACACTGGTCTCCCCCATGCTCACCATGCCACTGGGCATCCCAGGGCCCTAGAGCAGTGTCCTCCTCCCCAGCACCCATGTCAGAGGCCCCGTCACTTTCCATGGACTCTGATGATGTATGTGAGGGCAGGTGGCAGGAGTGCTGGGAAACCGACTCTCAACCAGGACACACAGGGGCCAGCTTGCCTGGAGACAAGGTCACCTGCCTCTTGTCAGGAAATGGAATCCTGAAGGCTGAGGCGAAGGATGCTCTGTGGACACTTCCCAGGGCTCTGGGCTCTCGTTAGTACATCATCACAGGAGAGTAACCAAAATGGAGAACTCACTGCAGGAAGCCCTCAGCGCGTGTCAGTGCCAAACTGCACTGAACTCTGACCCAAACCTCTTCCTCATTCACACCTCCACATCTTCAGATGCTCTTTGCTTTAAAACAGCTGGAAAAGATCAGCAGAGCTCCACCCTGCCTGGGGAGGTGACCTACCAGCCCAGGCCCTACACTTCTCAGTGCTGACACTCTAGTGTCTGGGCCCCAGCTACCAGGGCCTCCACTCAGAGGCAGACCTCAGGATGAGCTGGGCCCACAGTCTGGCCACAGTGACAGTCGCTGAGGCCACTGTGGAGAAGGTCTCTCTCTGCTGTCCCCAGTACAACTCTGCAGTGAGCAGAAGGACCTGCGCCCAGTTCTCTCACCAGTTGCACCATACTACCTTCTGGGCCTTGATATCCTCATGGGAAAAATGGAGCGATTCACTTCCACAGTCAGGACTCAAGTGAGCCAGGACTGGAAATAGCATCTCATCACTGTCACTGTCACCAAGGCTTGGGGTCAGGCAGGAGGGTAGAAAAATCAATCCAGGAAGCAGGAGGCTTTTGGGCTCTAGGCCAGCTCAGGTGAAGTCAGGCGCTGCAGAGTGGGTGGGCAGGCGCAAGGCAGGGAGATGACTTCTATCTGAGAACATCCATTTCCTCTACTAAAACAAGTTACCTCTGAAGGTTGGTAAGACGAACTGGTGGTTTTGAGAGATGGTGTGAGTTTGTGGGGGCACACTAGCAAGGACCAGAAGCGAGCTGCAGCCCTGGGCCAGCAGGGAGTGGCCTGTGAGGCCTCACATGCAGGTGCCCTGGTGCGTACTGTTTCACATCCAGCTTTTGACATTCCAACCAATAAGCCATGGGGAGAGGCTCTACACACCGTGGATTCCCAGGCACCAGCATTCTGTCAGCCAACCTCACACACTGCCTCCCTCCACCCTCCGTCTCCCCCATCCAGAAGCACACAGAAACATACTTTGTGACCTTGAAGATCCGCAGCAAGCGGAGTGCCCTCAGCACGCTGATCCCAAAGGAGGTTCCTGGTTTTATGGCAGCCCAGACCACTTCAAAGATGCTCCCCACAATGACCTGCAAGAGGCATGGCATCAGCCTTGGAGTTCACCTGCATCATGCCCATGTGTACAAAAAGACACGCCCAGGAACACGCACGTGTGCTGTGTGTGTGCATCTGCACAGCTATGTCTCTGCAGGCACCCACCCTACATCTTCAAGCCAGACAAGGCAGCGCAGATACGTAGGTCAGAGGACTTCCATCCTCTCTCCCACACCATCCCAGACACAAGGAGGGCACAGGACATACAGCAAGACCAGGCCTGCTGGTGTCCTGACAGACTAAAGCCACCCGTCTAGTGCCTCACCCGTGCTTTATCACAGCCGCAGGACATTGCGTCTTCTTAAACGCCTCTGGGGCTGGGAAAGCACCCTGGAAAACTCCTACAACCCCCTCCCTGGTCCTGAACACTGTAAGCTATACCTTTCTTCTCCCAGTGACCAGGAGCCAGATGTACCACCAGGAATAGACTGCGGCGAGCCTGCCCCTCTGTTTTGCTGCAGGATTACCTCATGCACAAAGGAGACGCCCCCCACCCCCGCCGCCTTCAGTTTCTTTTCATATGGGCAAGGAAGGCCAGTCTGGTCAGTGCTGGAGCAAGGGGCTCAGAAAGGACAGACCAAAGAAAGTGGAGCCCAGCAGGCCTTTACTACCTTCCCCTGGACAGGACACACAGGGTCACCTTGAATCCTCTCCCAGGCTACCACACCTCACAGCGCACACTCGGGGCTCACAGTCAGTGTAAGTATCAAAGTGTATAAGTTACATTTCCTTTTACTTACAATTCTGCATTTGGGGTAGAAAACTCAAAATGAGCATTAACCAATTACATTTTATTACCCTTGCCTCATATATCTTCCAAGGTTCTAGTCATTTCTGCCTATATTCCATACCAAGTGCAAATCTGACCAGCTTAACATCACACATTCTCAGCAAGTCACCAACAGCATGAAGAATGCACCACTATAGAGCCCTGTGGTGTACCACTAGAGACTCCTCACAGGGGAACAATGATCTGTCAACCAGTATGTCTGAGCATGGATGGTGAAGGCGCAGATTCAGTCATCTGTGGTCCGCCCTCTGGCTCTTCCACAAATGCACCTGCAGGGCGTGACACAGTTCCACCAACACCCAGCACCTGTGACACCTGTACTGCACCTGTGTGACAGAGGGGCAAACTCGCCAAAGTCTGCTCTTGGCCATCACATGCTGGCCCTGGACCACCACCACCAATTCTTCTCTCAACTAGCAAATGACCCCGATGATTGCCCCAGATGGAAGACTAGCTTTCTAAACCTACTTCCTTTTCATTGTTGGTTTTCCACTAACTCTTAAAATTTGTCCCCATGGGTTCATGTGGAAGGCGGCCTCAGAGATGGCCCCCCACCATTCGCTGTTCACGCCCAGTATAATCCCCTTCCCTTGGGTTGGTTAGATATGAGGACTTGCTCCTAGAAAACAGAATACCACAAAAACAATGGAACTTCACCTCGAGGTCAGGCTCAAGGCACTGTGGACCCACCCTGGGTGCTACCATCTCTTTCTCAGGTCACCAGATGCTGTGTTGCAAGGATATTTCAATCACCTATGGAGGGGCCTAGGTGACCAGGAACTGAGGTCTGCCAGTAACTTGAGGAGTGAACCTGGAGACTGGCCAACCACCACGACAACCTGTGCTGGAAAGTGAACTGTCCACCCCAAACCTGGGGTGACTGAGCCTCCCTGGAGACTGGGAACCACGGTCATCCAGTCAGGTCACACCCTGGTTCCTAACTCACATATACACTGAGATAAGAGAAGTTTGTTGTTTTAACCACTAAGCATTGGAATAACTGGTTCCCAAGCAGGAAAAATCAGCACACACTAGAAACAGACATGGGGTGTTACTACCATAAAAACTGAAATGAGGGAGTGGTTTTGGAGCATTGTGCTGGGGAAGGCTTTGAGCCCCGAAAACACACTCTGTGGAGTGTTGGACCATGAGGAAGATGCATGCAGGGGTCTGTGGGAAGTGGGGGGACTCCACAGAAAACCCAAGGCAGAGCACTGGAACAAAAGCTAGCCACTGTGCTGCCCACGGTCCTGCAAAAAGCAAAAGCTGTGCTTGATGGACTGGAGGGCTGCTCTGCCTCAGGATATCTCCCAGCCAAGTGCACAAGGAGGTGCCTGGCATCTTCCTGCTGCTGCTCAGGCACGAGCAGGGAGCAACATTAGGAAAAGCATCACTCAACAAAAACAAGCCAGGACTTACTGGTTCAGAATGCACTCGGTCTCTGCAGACACCAAGGGCTACCAACATGGAGGAATGCACAGTCTAACTATGCACTGATTCAGATCAAAAAGCCACAAGAGGTGGTGCTTTGGGAGCAGTGTTCAGCCACCCCTCAGCCTGGCAGAGATGGGGTGTGGCTCAGTAAGCCCTCGAGCCCTCAGTCAGCTCAGCAGGAGCACAGGCAGGGAAGATAAGGCTACAAGAGTTGTGGGCATGTGACAGTCGTCCACTTTATGCTTTGAATGAAGCCCTCACTGCTCTGCCACTGTGACTTATTTTTAAAGGGACATTTCTTTCTCTTCCCCCCACCCCTGCCCCCGTCCCTAATCTCAGGGGAAGTAGGATTACCTTTCTTCCCCATTCTAGGTGGAGTTATCTATCCTTGAGCACACACCCACCTCAAGAATGAAGTAATTCAGACACCGGGGTGGCACCTGAAGATCTCCCAAATTAACAAGTGATTACAACTCTGGACAAGGGACACCTGCAATGAAACCTTTGAATCACCTCTTTTAAAACCTCCTGTTCCCCTTGTTGGGCAGAATTACAGCCTCTGGGACAGGAGTCCCCTGTGTTTCTCCTTTGCTAACAAAGCAGTAAAATTTGTTTTTAATTCTTCTCAAAACTGTGTCCTCATTATTGGATTGACGTCAGGACAAGGACCCAGTTCTCAGTAATAGGTACAGTTTTGTCTAATGGAACAAACCTCAAGAAAGTTCCATAGAGGTACCTTGAATACCCAACCCATCCTTAAAAGACAGCAGAGACATCACCAAACTAAAAAATAATCATTAAAATTCTCTCTCTCTCTCTCTCTCAAAAAAAAAAAAAAATAGGTCTTCAGAGTCCCAAAATCGTACTAGTAATGAGATAGGAATCCAGGATTACAGAAAAAGAAAAGCAGGCTGAGTATCAAGGAGAACCATCCATGAGGTGTTGGAATGCAAGAATCCATGAACCTCTGAAATGCCAAATAGCATTTGTGAGCATCCAGCCCACATCCTTAGCTCCATCCCTGACTTGGCTCACTCCCCACCTGCAAAAAGTACCATGTGGACAACACACACACACACACACACACACAGAGAGAGAGAGAGAGAGAGAGAGAGAGAGAGAGAGAGGAAACTGGAGCCAGACTCTGTGCCTCTGTCTTGACTCCACCTCTGGTCCAGCCTCTAGGCCTGTCCCTCTACAGACACCGACACCCAAGACCAGGGGCTGCTGTCTCTCCCTCTGGAAATAGCCTGCATTCTTCCTTAAATCGGTGTCTGCTTTCCCAAATCAATGTGCCTGTGTCTCTGGCACAGGTTGAAATTCTTTCCCAGCACAAACACCAAGGCTTCCACTTATCCTGGGTTGAGACTTTTCTCAGCAAACTCCTCTGGAGACAGGAAGAACAGGTTGAGAGAACTGTAGAGCTGAAAATATGCACTATCTTCCAAGATAAAGGAAGGGAGACCCAGAGGGGATCCCAAGCGAAGGGCTGAGTAGGACTCCCAGTGTCCAGCTGGATTTCAGAGCTGCTACAGACCGGTGCTTCCTTGTGCTCCCCACGGGCCTGGCCCTTTTTGAATAGGAATGTTGACAGCAGCTATCCCAGGCCTGGCCCACCACTGGACACTGAGTTTGGGGTTAAAAAGTGGTCTCTTGTCTCTCAGGCCAACAGATCACAAGAAGCTGGAAGAGCTTGCTTGGGGAACCACAACCAGGGACCCTTGCCACCCAGGGCTTGACTCAGTTGAGGACAGCCTGCACTCCAAGTTATGGGAGGGGATGAGGCTCTCGGGAATAGAGAGGGGTGGTGTGCTTTACGCTGGGGCCAGAGGGTAGCCTGTGGGCAGCCTTGGAGTACCCCCATGCTCCTCACTCTGGGGTTAACGCCCCTCAGGTGTGGGCTTAGTGACTTGCCCCTAACAAAAAGAACTCAACAAAATTAAAGGAACACCTCCTCAGCTTGGGCAGCTTCTCCCTCAGGGACCTCAGTTCTCTCAGCCCACAGGCTGCCACACTGTGAGGAAAAGCAAGCAGCCTACAGAGAGGCTACCTGACCCAGAACCAAGACTGCATCCCTGGTCTTCAACTAGGCTGAAACCTCAGGAGAGACCCTGGGCCAGAGGCACCCAAGCAGCCACACCCAGATTCCTGACCCACAGTGTGAAAAGTAAGAGATTTTAGCAGTTTTGAGTTGTTAAGCTCTAGAATAATCCGTTAGCTATGTGCAGACTGCCCCATATCCTGGAGTCCAGTCGTGCAGGTCGGAAGGTAGAAGCGTATCTGCAAAGCCAGTGCACCTCTGACACCCCCTCAGTGCCAGGACCTCTGCCCCACTAGCTCCTGCCTGTCTTTGTGGCCAGACAGGCAAAGGGTGAGAGCCCTGCAGTCTTCCCACAACCACTCAGAATCACAGGTGCTGATCCCAGAGGGCCCTGGCAGCCTGGCACAGTGTGAGCCACTAGCAGCTGGGCAGTCTTGGCCAGGCATGGCCTGTCTCAAGTCTCTCATCTGCAAAGTAGGGGCCATGGGCACAGTGGCTGCCAACTGCAAGATGCAAAGGGAGAACATAACAAATCCAAGTTGAGCTGAATTTCCAGCTGAGGTTCTCCTTCACCCTGTCACCACAAACCAGAGAGCTCCAGGTTCTTCTACAGGGCATGGGCTCTGCTTGCCACCTAGCCTCTGGGCAGGTAGTGACAGGGCCAGGCCCAGGCTCTGGGCTCAGCACCAGGGATACATCCTGTGTGATCTGTAGGGCCAGGTAAGGTGACACTTGTGTGGCCCTTGCCCTCTGTCCCAGCCTGGACTAAAGGTGAGCCACAGAACATTCTGCCCTAAGGCTTCCCTGACCTGTGAGATTGGGAAGGGACCACCCCACCCCTAACCCCACCCCAAGGAGGGTGGACTATCACTTCTCCCTTAGTGGCAAAAGTACACATGCCAGGGTACAGTGGGGTCAGGAGCTCAGCCCAAGCTCTCCAGGGGAGACTGAGCCTGCAGTAGGTTCCAGGTCCCAGCACAGAGGGTGCTACAGAGCCTTGATTGGTCACGAGCAGACAGGAGGAGTCAGAGGCAAGAAGGGCAACATGCTGCACTGGGAGGGGCTGTAGCAGGCACCCCCAACATCAGGCCAACCCAGGACAGGCCTGTGCTGACTCCCTGCACCTGCCAGTCTCTGGGTAGCCTTCAGGACCTACAGGATCACAGATCTCAGCCCACACTGGGCACACATGGGGAAAGGGGTTTTGCACACCCAGGTAAGGACACATTCAGACCACCCAGACCCAAGTAGGCATATTTTAAATTTTTAAACTTATTTATTTATATGTGGTACTAAGAATGGAAACCAGTTCCTCACACAAGCACTTTACCAGCAAGCTGTAGCCCAGACCCTTAAGTAGTCATCTTTAATGAGGCACCTTCCTTACCCCAAAGTCGAAGCAGTTGAAGGAGGACCGGAAGTAGCTTCTGGGCCCCAGGCCATACATCTTCAGGGACATCTCTGTGAGGAAGAGACCCAGGAAAACAAACTCTGCAAAGTCTAAGAGAAGTCGGAGAAGAGGGAGGTTAGCACAAGGCTCCTCCCACCCTGCCTCCAGCCCAGACTGGAGGACACCACATTTCTGGTTCTTTCCAGGGCTGAACCTTCCAGGCCTGGTTTGCATCCTGAGCTCTGAAATCTCATTCCAGGACAGGGACACAAGAGATGCTGTTCCAGTCTGGAGGATAAGGGCCCAGGGCTAATGTGACACAGCTCTGGGATCCAGAGTCATAGGAGACACCTTCCGAGGAGGGCCTGCAGATGTGCAGCTGGGTACGGCCTCTGGCCGGGCTTGCACCATTGGCTCCTCACTCTGATCACAGGCAGAGCCCCTCAGCCTTGTCAGGGTCTCCCTGTCTTTCCACAAGAGCTTCCTGGCAGCCCTCCTTAGGACCCCACAGCACCGCGTTTAACTTTGACTTTGTTCACGTGTTTGCCCCACATAAGGAGAACTCCTCTACACCTGAACATCTTCCAGGCCTGTCCAACACACACTCCCAGGGGTCATTGGCTCTGCCAAGGGCTTTGGTGATGCCTCCCCTGGCTCTGCCAATGAGTAGGGGCATGATGGAGAGGGTTCAACCCAGGAGTCCCAGAGGTAATCCTGCTGACCCTCCAGGGCCTCAGGGTTAAAGGGAGGCCACACTGAGGCTGGAGGGCCCACAAATGCCCACTAGCCTAGTCCAGACAGGAGTGAAGTCAGAGCAAGAGAAGGCAGTGACTCCAGAGGCAGTCCCAGGCCTCCGACATGTACCACCCAACCAGCCTGCCCTTCCCAGGCAGGAGTCAGTGGTAGCCATCTCCTAGCTCCTGGGAACCTGCTGCCTGAGCAGGCCAGATGTGGGGAGTGGACATCAATGAGGCCCTCAGAAGCCCAGACCTCAGAACCGAGCCACTCTCATTGATCCCCCTCCCAGAGGATGGTACTGGGATCAGGAGACCAAAGGCACTGTGGCCGCTGGTCAGGGCAGCAGCTCCAATCCCAGAGCACGGCCACAGAGGACAAGGCCATGAGAAGGAAGGGAGGCCAAGCCGGGGAGCCAGTCGCTGGGCAGATGCCAGCTTATCCCCCTGGGTCTTGGCTGAGACATGGGGCCTTAAGGCAGACACAGCTCCTAAAACACAGATGATGGAAGATGGGTAGCACACTTCACATCCCTGTGCACCCTGAAATCTGCCTTCCCCACAAGTCCCCAAGGGCTACACAGTAACGATCCAAACACTTCAGTAAGGAGTCCGTTTATAGCAGCCCAGATCCAGATAAGCAGAGATGCTAGTTCCAGGCCCATTTAAGCACTGAGCAAACAGAGAGGGGAGGACCCCTCTTCTACAGCCTAGGCCCATGGCCAGCCAACTCCTGGGAGCAACTCATGCCCAACAAGCCTGGCCCCTGAAGCCAGCCAGGAGATCACCAGGCACTTTCACTGAGTATGGGACGATAGCAAAAGGCCAAGAAGCCTACTAGGGAAAGCCAGAGCCCATATCAGGCACAGATGCCACTGACCCTTAGGCAGGGCCTTCTTGGGACAAGAAGACCATCCCCAACCAGGCCTGTTGCTGCCTCAGACAGATGCCTGGGCCTGGTTGTTTCAGCAGCAGGTATGAGCAGCAGCAGGAAAGCTGCACCCCTCGCAGTCCAGCTCAGAACAGGAAATACACAAGTAGCCTGCAGAGTCCTAGTGCTCCTGGCCACAAAAACCTCAAAGTCCCTCTACATGGTCACAAAGGCCTTTGCCTGTGCCATCAGTTTCCCATGAAGCACCCTGGGAGAGAAGAGAAATAGGACTATGGCCACCCCCGTGGGGACCACCAGCAAGGCTGCCCAGGCCCTCAGCTTCCTCCTAGAAGACCAAAGTGAGAGAACTTTGCAAGAAACAGGTACAAAATTGGCCAAACTTTAGAGAAAGGGACTAGGCACTAGAAGTCCCCAGCGTCCTGTTGAGATGGCCTGAGCTCACACACTCAGCCTCCCCTCTCAGGCCACAGAAGAGGATCATCCATTCTTGCACCAGCAGGCACAGTGCTGCTAGGAGCTGGTGCAGGAGATAGCACGCACCCTGCTCTCCAGGAGTTCACAGGCAACAGGGCAAGCAGAGGAGGAAGGTAAAGGTGTCCTGTGAGAGGCCACCGTGCTCTGGGAGCAGAGGGGAGGGCAGAGAAGTGTGTCCTGTGGACGTGTAAAGCCTCTCGGGGGCTCCCTTTCACTGCTTAAGCCTCAGTTTCCAAGGTCCTGACGGGGCCTCAGGGTGGGTCCTTGGTGGATGGGCAGGTGCACAGAGCTAACTGACTACAGGGTGGCAGGCCTTAGGCCAGGGCCCCACTATGAGCACTGTGAAGCTGGTCTACGCAGGACCTCTAGAAGCCTGCTCTGCCCTGCAGGATCAGACAGGGCCCCAGGCACTATCAGCAGAAAGGCTTAGACTCAGCAAATGCCCACCTCTCCCTCCAGCCGTTTTCCCTCTGTGAGGACAATGGACCCAGGAATTCCAGGAAAACAGCAGGTTCCCAGTCAGTCTGCCTGCAGCCTGGCCCAAGGCTGGGGTACTTCCAGCCCACACTTGCACCATCATACGCGTAAGCAGGCCGTGCAGGCTCCCACACACAGGCACCCCACCTTCCCAGCCAGCAGACACCCAGAAGGCAGGAGTGAGCTTGAGAGCAGCTGGGCACCACCAGGCCCAGCCAGCTGAGGGGAAGAAGAGAATCCACGGTCCCCACCCAACCCCAAGGGTAAGGAACCTGAGCCTGAGGGTCCAGGAAGACCCTGAACTCACTCCCAAGCAAAGTCCCAAGATGCCAAGCTCCCACTCTCAGGATCCAAAACTGGGGACCAGAGCCGGCTGCCGCATGCCACAGCGCTGCTCCCCAACCCTCCCTGGGGCATCTGCGCCAGGCCGCCTCGGCTCTTTATCCTCCTGCTGCCTCTTTACCCTTCCCCTGAGAGGCAAGCAACAGATTCCTTTTACCTTTTCCTTTTTTTCCCAGAACCAGGGAGTAAACCCAGGACCTCATACTTCTAGGCAAGTGCTCTGCCACCGACCGACCCAGCAGCTGAAGCCCAGGCTGCATAAGTGTGCACGCACATGAGCACACACGTGCGCACACGCGTGAAGCCCAAGCGGGGTGAGTGTGCATGCGCATGAGCACATACGTGGGCACACGCATGACCGTGGGCCCGCCTACTGCACAGCTGCCCGCACCCACCCAGCTCATGAGAGCCCTTCAGGGGCTGAGTGGGCCACACAGGTTGGACAGCTGGGCTAGGACTGTGCCAGGATGCTTTCAGGGTTCAGCAAAAATTCTCCCAAGTGCCTCAGGCAGCTTCCAGAGAGAGGGAGGCCTTCGTGGGAGCCCCAAAGAGCTCTTGCCCTCAGGCCCACTGCAGACACCAAGCAGGGTGAGTGCAGCTGACCCCTGGAGGACAGGGAGGCAAAAGCACTGACCACAGGATGGCAACATCAGTGGACTCTTCAACACTTCACAAAGTAAGACAGCAGAGGCAAGCTGTGCTCCTGGGGCCCATGGAGCCCTGGAGTATGCAGGGCCAGCTTCAGAGTGCCAGTTCCGATCCTGGACAGACACAGGAGGCCCCAACCACCGGTTACCTTCCTCTTTGCCTTCTCCTGACTATAGCCGGGGCCAAGACAAGCATGACACGAATCCCTGTTGCTGCCCTGGGCTCATGGACACAGGATAGCAAGTCATCTCTGGTCATAGCAGTCCTGATGCTCATATGTCCAACCCATTGTACAGGAGAACGTAAGTATCCAGAAGAGCCTTGTGACAGAGCGTGCAGCCAGGACTCTGACTCCTCGGGAATCCAGGCCAGGAGTAGCGCAGAATGAAGTGCCTAGCCTATGGGTCTGAAACCCTTCAGAGGGAGGACCCAGGTGTGTTTGGCCTGGCTCATCCCTGGCCATCCCACACCCTTCCTCCCCTGGGCAACCCAGGACCTCTCAACTCATCACACTACTGATGCAGGGCATCTAGCCACATCAGTTGGGCTGCCTGGAACCCACCTGCAGGCATGGAGGGGAGCCCTCAGGCCTGGGACACCACCCAGGCTCCAGCAGAGGCCCCTGGGGACTGACCAGGTCTGTGCAGCAGACAGGAGTTGCGCCCAGGGTGTTCCAGGCAGAAGAGTCGTGGACCAGGATTTCCAGGCTGCAGAGCAGATGGGTTTGGGAGGTGCCCTGAGAGAGGGAAGGGCGGGGCAGGGTACATACACAGAGCTGTGGTGAGCCGCTGCGGCTGGTTGTAGTGCACCATGGCCACACAGAGTGTGTTCAGAGCCACCACACACAGCACCACCCAGTAGAAGCTTTGCGCCTTCACCATGCGCCGGATGAAGAACCGGAACATCTTCTCCTTCCTCCGGAAATACGATGAACTCTCTGTCTTCCCACTTTTGAGGCTGGCACGGGCAAAGGGGGACCCTGCAAGACAAAAGGCTTGCTAGAGCTCAGGGACCAGCGGCCCCATTCTTAGACATACCCTCAAGGACAGCCTGCCCCATCCCCTGCTCACAAGCCATTATGCACTAACCCTTGCCACCCCCCCTGTGGGGAGTCCAAAGGTCTCCATGAGGCCTATGGTCCCTGGCTGCCCATGGAAAGCTGGCTCGGACTGGACTGCATGGTCACTGTCTCTGGTCCCGGCACGCTGGCTACCTTCCAGAAGGTAGCCCTGATGCCCTGGGCACCCTTGTAGGCACTCCAAGCTTTTTCCAAGAGAGATAAATCTGACAGAGTCAGTCCCTCCCCAAGATCCATCCCTCCAGTACACCCTGCCCCCCAACTCAGGGGTCAGCAACCATTGGCTACCTGTTTCTTAAGCATCTCTCCTGGACATGCATTTGTTCTTGGTACATGGCTGATGTCCTGTCCATAAAGGCCAAAACACTAGCTGTCTGGGAAGTGTGCTGACCCTGCTCTCACCTGACTCCTTCTTCTCTCCCCAACTCACACCCAAACCGTCACCTCTGCTGCTTTGATCTTAGCAGTTCCCAAATGTAAAATGCTCCCTTCCCCAGGCTTCCTTTCCATGGTGGCTCCTCAGCTGGGGGTCTTAGCTTCAATGTCACCTTTACAAATCATCTTTCTCTGGACACTCCATCTAAAGTAGGGTCCTCCCTGCCCACACCCTGCAGTGATACCCACCTCATGGCCACCTATCACCATTTGCTCATCAGCCTGTCCTTATCCAGCTCCCTGAACAGTAGCCATGTTGAAGTTTTCATCCCTGAGCCCCCTGCCTGCATGTGCACACACACTGGGCCCCCAGGTAAGAAGGCCAGAGAGGGCAAAGCTACTGCACGGCACACACAGCTAGGGAGAGCAGGGAACCACCTCGGGGGCGGGGGGGGGGTGTCTCCATTCTGTCCCATGTAAGGAAGACCTCGCAGGGATGTGCCCTTCACAACTGCCTGCCACAACCACACCCACCTGGGCCCATGACATACATGATGTCATGGTACGGATGTGAGGTATCCCCAAAAGCTCATGTGTGAGACAAAGCAAGAAGGTTCAAAGGGGAAGTGATTGGGTTTTGAGAGCCTTCATCAGTGACTTAATCCCCTGATGGGGTCAACTGAGTGGCAACTGAAGGTAGGTGGATGTGGCTGGAGGAAGTGGGTCCCTGGGGGTGTGGCCTTTGCCATATATGTATATGTATATGGCCAATGGAGTCTCTCTCTGCTTCCTCATCAGGTGAGCCACGTGCATACGCCACACTCTTCCACCATGATGTTCTGCCTCACCTTGAGCCCAGAGGAATGGAGCCTGCTGCATTTGGACTGACACCTCTGAAATTTGAGCCCCAAAATAAACTTTTTCTCCTCTAAAATTGTTCTTATCAGGTCTTTTAGTCACAGCAGCAAAAAAGCTTAAAACACAGGAACACAGAGCATGTCAACCGCTACGGCACTTGCACAAAACCACACCCCACATTGCCTGCAGAGCTCCCAACACACACTCAAGGGGTGCCGGGGGGGTGGGGGGCAGGAGCCAAGGATCCTCTACTGCAAGCAGACAGGGACTCTTGCTTCTCGTGCCACCCACACTCCAGGGCATAGCCAGAACTGCTTCAGCCTCAGGTCCACAGGAGCCTGGGCACCCAGGTAGAAAGTGGCTGCAAGGCCAACACTTGGAAGTACTTGAGTACTTCCAAGGTCCTGCTCTTTGGGATGGGGGCGCAATCCCAGCAGACAGCAATTCTTAGCAAGCAGCCACTGTGTGCTCAAGTCTGCTGTGGGCAGTGGCTCCGGCCCCATTCTTGGAGGAAAGCAGGTATCTACAGTAAATGCAGAAATGCATCATCAAATGGTAGTCTCGGTGGGAAGACCACGAGATAAAACTGCTTCTCAGCTTTCTGAACCTTCCAGACCTAATCAGCATATAGTCCCTATGATGAAAAAGCTTATTTCAAGAAAAACAGACCTGAAATCTTCAAGCTAGGAGAAAATCAAGAATTAAAACAACCCAAGAAAGCTAAATATCAGTAAGAACAAGATACAACCGATAGCACATCATATAAAGGGATCCAGATATCTCTAAGAGGAATTCACCAGTCAATACGCAGTCCCTGTGACCCTTGTCAGTACTATTTGCTCAACAAACATGCACAGACCATTTGTTCCAGGCCCTGAATGAAGCCAGAAAACAGAACGACCAAGATCTACCCAGCTCTCAGTGACTTTCTAGAGGCCAGGGAGGAGGAAGAAGAAAGCCAGTGTCTTTCCAGCCTGGCTGGTGTGTCCCAGCATGGAGTAGCAAAAGTGACATGGGCTCAAGCAACATGCTGACATGGACCCAAAGGCTGCCACCCTTGACCTTAGGGTTGTGTGACCTGGTGCACGTCTGTCACACAAACCTGGAAGCCACTCACTTGGCAACAGATCACAGGCCACCTGTACCTTTAAGGGTCAGCTGGGATTTAGTGAGACAACTCTGAGTGGAGGGCTAAACATAGGGTGCAAAGAATAGGCTGATAACAGCATGTGGGCAGGGAGACATGAGAGCCCAGCACCTGAGACACAGCCATCCTCAGCTGGAGGGCAACCAAGGGGACCCAGCTGTGCTGGGAACACAGAAACCCAAGAATGGCTTCCTTCCCTCCCAGCCAGCCCCAAGCCTGTCCTGACCAAGGACCAAGGCCTGCACACACTGAATGCAAGTATGTCCTTGGGCTCTGCTAGGGACTCAGAGGAAAGTCCATTAGTCCCAGGGATCCAAGGACAGCACCCAAGTCACCAGACAAAACAAAGCTTAAAGAGAGAAAGAAAAACAAACTTCCCTCCTGAAATTTCTCAGCAGGCAAAATGAAAGGAAGTTCAGTCTGGAACTTAGTGAGACAACTCTGAGTGACTGGAAGGCGAGGCAGAGGAGGGAGCCATGAGGCAAGGGCAGAGGTACAGAGGAGCAAACCAGAGACACACTGAAGGCAGTGACTCCTAGCAAAGCAGCAAGGAAAGGAGACGAGCATTATAAGTGGGGAAGCCGCTCCGCACGGCAGCAGGGTGGAGCTACAGGTCAGGGCCTGGGTGTCAAGCTCCAGCAGGGAACAGGCCACAACAAGGTCACCTCGTGGTGAGGAGCAGGGAAGGACTCTTGGCAACAGGGAGAACTCAGTCCCCACCTACACAGCCTGGCAGAGTGAAAAAGGAGAGGGAACAACGGGCTGCGGAGCTGTGGCTGGAGGAGGGGCGGGAGGCCTCAGAAGGGCGCAGCAGGGCGCATGCATATGCGCATGCTCCACCTGGGGCAGCAGTGAGGGGCCCACACCTGGTCCCGGACAAGAGGGGGTCATGCTCCTCAAGTTAGGAGTGGAGCAAAATAAACAGAAACAAAAATGCAGTGATGGGAACAGCCCATCATGGTGATAAAGATGGTGAAGCAGCAAGCTAGAGTGGTGAGAACACTGTTCCCAACCACAGGGCAGGAAAGGGAAGAAGACAGCCTCTGTGGAGGGCAGAGGTGGAGACCAGAAACTAACGAGGGGTGGAAGCGCTCTGAAAAAGCAGAAGTCCCTCAAAATGCAGGGCACAGCCATGCGGTGCAGCAACGAGGAAGAACAAGACCTGTGCACCAGGCACCTGCTAAGTCAGATGGGTCCTCCATCAGAAACAGACATCACACTGGGTTTAGAAACAGCACAGCCAGAAAACCAAGATTCTTATGGTGCTTGGGCCAGGCATGGTGGCACAGGCTGCAATCCATTACTGGGGAGGCTGAGGCAGGAGGATCTCAAGTTCCAGGCCAGCCTCAGCAAATAGCAAGACTCTGTCCCAAAATAAAAAATAAAAAGGGCTGGGGATGTGGCTCAGTGGTAGAGGGTGCTGAGATCGGCCCTCAGTACAGGGGCTGGGCGTGGGATGGAGGATAAATGTTAAAGAAGTGTGGAAAATGAAAGAGAAAGAAGGGTACCAGGCAAATGCAAGCTAAAACAAAATCAATGACCTTGGCAAGAAGCAGATGGTGACATTTAATGCCAGGCAAGGGGGACTATCCAGGGGAGGAGCTAAACAGAGAGAGAAAGCACTGTGTGAAGAAACACAGGTAATCTGTGCAATCACAACAGCTGCACCAGGAAACCACCTGCTGGCCAAGTCACCAGCAAAAGCCAGAAACACCAGGGACTTTGTGAAAAGCCCCATAGGAAAAACCTGTTGGGACCACAGACCTCAGGGACAGAAACCAATATGCCTGGGATCCATGCAGAGCCCAGCCACAGTCTGATAGCTCTCAGATACACCACACTCTCTGTTAATGAAACTTTCTAAAATCAGTTAGGAACATACAATCTGAAAACCCACAAGTGTACAGACTTACAGGCCACGTTTTTCAATCTGATAAAATTAGAAGAGAAGATGATCAAAATGCTGTACCCACTTATCAGTTAAGAAGCACACCCTTAGATAGCCTTGCACAGAGAAAAGCAAAGGGGCCAGAAGGAGGTACCACAGCACACTTTTATACAGAGGGAGGAGGAGAGAGAGGGAGGAGGAGGGGGGGGGTAGAAAGGAGGAGAGAAAGAGTGTGTGGGAGAGAGGAAGGGAGAAAGAGAGAGGGAGGGAGAGAGACAGTGTATGTGGGAGAATGAGGGGGAGAGAGAGGGAGAGGGAGAGAGGAGAGAAAGAGTATGTGGGAGAGAGAGAGGAAGAAAGAAAGAAGGAGGGAGAGAGTGGGGGGGGAGGGGGGAGAGGGAGAAAGAAAGGGAGAGAGATGGACAGAAGGAGGGAGAGAGGGAGGGGGAGAGAAAGAGCGTGTGAGGGAGAGGGGGAGGGAAAGAGTGTGGGGGGAAGGTCTCTTAACAAAGCATCAATCACCAAGGTAGTCTCCATCTTTCCCGCCTGCATCCCTGAGTCCCTGGCTTCATCTCAGCTATACCCACTGAAAATGCCAGCATTCTTTAGACTATGACAAGCCATAGGAAAGAACTTTAAATATTCTCCAATCTATGTTACAAAATCAGAATTCAAACACCTAGGTAAAGTAGGAATAGAAGGGAATTTTCTAAATATAACACACATGAGATAAATCATGGAGCTTGGGCACAGGTCTATAATACTTGGACTCTGATTACCAACAAAAAAATACAAACAGCCTGACAGAAAAACAAGCAGGGCACCTGAGGGGTCGCCAACTACAAATCCCAACGGGAAACTAAGAGGAGGCATCCAGCCATGAGCTGTCTGGCTGTAGAAGTGACAGTCCCAGGGAAGACCTCAGTAACCAGCGCCACATCGGCAGGGTGCAGGCTGAGGCAGGGACACTGCAGGGCCACAGGGCCCCCACAGAACCTTCAGGCAGCACCTCCCACAGCAAGAAGAAAGGACAAAAGATGCCAGGCAAGGGAGAGGGCATCAAGTTACCCTGGGAGAGCTCAGCACAGAGGGCCAGAGTCACTGGCAAGGTTGACGGGGTGACCACGGCACCATGGGACCAAAGGCAGCAGGGATCTGCGACTGGGATGGGAGAGACTACACGCTACGAAGGACATGTGTCCATGCCTGTGTGTCCTCTGAGGGACACTATGTGTGCGTGTCCTCTGAGGGGGAGAGTGAGTGTGTGTGTGTGTGTGTCCTCGGAGGGAGGGAGAGAGAGAGAGAGAGTGTGTGTGTGTGTGTCCTCTGAGAGAGAGAGAGAGAGAGAAAGAGTGTGTGTGTGTCCTCTGAGAGAGAGAGAGAGAGAGAGTGTGTGTGTGTGTGTGTGTCCTCTGAGGAAGTGTGTGCGCGTGTGTCCTCTGAGGGAGAGTGTGTGTGCATGCGTGTCCCCTGAGGGAGAGGGTTTTGCGTGTGTGTCCTCTGAGGGGGAGTGTGTGTGCGTGTGTGTCCTCTGAGGGAGAGTGTGTGTGCGTGTGTGCCTCTGAGGGAGAGTGTGTGTGCGTGTGTGCCTCTGAGGGAGAGTGTGTGTGAGTGTGTGCCTCTGAGGGAGAGTGTGTGTGCATGCGTGTCCTCTGAGGGGGAGTGTGTGTGCATGCGTGTCCTCTGAGGGGGAGTGTATGTGCATGCGTGTCCTCTGAGGGACAGTGTGTATGCGTGCGTGTCCTCTGAGGGACAGTGTGTGTGTGTGTGTGTGTGTGTGCGTGTCCTCTGAGGGACAGTGTGTGTGCGTCTGTGTCCTCTGAGAGAGAGTGTGTGTGTGTGTGTGTGTGTGTCCTCTGAGGAAGTGTGTGCGCGTGTGTCCTCTGAGGGGTTGAGTGTGTGTACAGAGGAGAGACCTCAGTGGAAACTGTCCCTTCACTGTTGGTGGCCCTTGGACTCTGAGCACAGGGCGGCAGAGCCAAGAGCAGCACACCTGCAGCATGTGCTTGTGGGCAGGAAGGAACCCCAGCAGCAGCAGGTCCAGCCACAGCCCCTGGCAGCCAGAGGACAGACTCACCCACGGCACAGAGGTCTGCAAGCCGGTCCTCCCCCTCCTCAGCGTGGATCAGGTCGTGGCGGCTCTTCTTGGTGGCGGCTCTCTTCAACACGGCTGTAAACACAGGGCGCGGTGATGGCATGAGCTGCAGCCTCAGGCAACCCACCTCAGAACTGGGGTGTCCGTCCACTGAGCTGGGAGTTATCCTCCCCCTGGACTGGCCACTTTCCTCAGCTTCTGTCTCAGCTGGAGCTAAGGATGATTCCTGGTGCCCATGGGCCCAGTCCTTGGGCAGGAGGGACAAGAAATTCTGAGGTTGGGTCTGCTTTCTTTTCCCTCCAAAATGAAGTCAGTAGGGGGCCTGGCGACCAGGGAGACACAGGAACATTCATCTGTGACAAGGCTAGGGCTGCCAAGGGGCCAGTGTGGACCTGCTCAGAGCCTTAGGTGTGGGCAGCGTTGGCAACTGTACAATGCTTGCCTTCGCCAGCCCCCCACTCTGGCCCCAGGTGTCTTTCCATAGCCTTTGGAAGCAGCAGTGCTCCAAGTCCCTAGGCCTGCAGGTGTAAAGCTTCCAGAAGCAGCCCTGTCCAGCCCCGCCTTCCACAGCACTGTGGTGTGCACATCGCGAAGCCCAGGCTCAGACCCCAGGGCCCCATGGCTTGTGACCACGGCTAACCTGCAGGTGCCTGGCACAGCAGACTGTGGGTGGAAACAACTACAGGTGCACACGCACCACTGCCCACTCAACCCCCGAGCCCCCACTACACTGATGGGGCGCCATCAAATGACCTACCATCCAAAGGGGACTTCTCCTCTGCATTCTTGTCCTCCTCTGCCAGCATGACTTCCTCTGTGAAGGGACACAGCCTCCAGTCAGAGCCTGCCCTGCCCGTCCCCAGGGACACCCTGGACAAGGGCACACTCCTTTCTGGAAGTCGCCCAGTCCCTCTCCTCTGCTCCACTTCTATGCTTCCAGCAGCCAGCAAGCCTATGGCTAGGTCCCTGCTTCTAAGACCTAGACAGGGTTCCATGCAGAGAGGCCAGCTGCCTTGCGTCCCTCCCAAGTCCCCATCTACATTCTGCCCACCTGTGAGTTCATCACTGGGGAAGCATTTGTGAACCCTCAAGTGGCACGGACAGTGCCCACAGGAAGGAGAGCACTGGCTGGGCCAGGAGGAGAATTGGAAAGTCCAGGGTTTCCAAGCCCAGAGCCAGGCTTGGGAGGAGCTGAGGTCAAGGGCAGGGCACTCAGGTCTAACGTGACCTTGCCAAAGTCATCTACTGAAAAGCCCAGTGTAGTCAGTGCCATGTGGCTGCCTGGTGCCGGGAGCCTCGGTGGGCCGGAGAGAGAGGCCTCCTCTAGTCCCAGCTCCTTCCAGCCCTGTCAGCTTCCCTGCACTGAGCTCTACGCCATAGCCAGGGACAGCCACTGGGAGCACAGCAAACTGGGGACACAGAGAAACCGAGGGCAGATGGCCACTGCAGCACGCAGCCCCCACAGACTCTCACCAGCCTTGAAGATCCACTCCAGGTACCCATTGAGCTCCCGCTCGATCTGCTGCTGCCGGCGGAGCTTCAGGAAGGCACGGCGGTTCTCCACCCGCTCTCGCTCCTTGGCGAACTCCCTGCATCCAGCAGGGCCACGGAGGCAAACAGCAGTCAGTGCAAAGACCCCAGGCCTCCCAGGGGAGCAGCCCCAGAGATAAAGGGCTAGACCAGGAGGTGAAGGCTGCTGGGAACCTCCAGGTAGCTCCCTTCAGCCCAAGAGAGGGCCGCTCTCCCGGCTGCTGGGAACCCCCATGTTCTCTGGTCAATCTTCCCATGTGCAGTGTCCTCAGCAGGGGCCAAGGCTCTCCACATCCTGGTGACTGCCAGCCTTCTCCCCACCACAATCCTGGCTCCATCCCCCAGAATCCCCGCAGCACACAAGTGCCACAGTGTCCACACTGCTCAGCCTGCGGCGGACGAACTCTGCCTGGAAGACCCTCCTCCCTTCACCTGGCTCACTCCTAGTCCCTCTCTGGGTCCCTTCACCTGGCTCACTCCTAGTCCCTCTCTGAGACGCCCCCGCCTCACATGCCTTTTCTGAGCCCTAGACCTCCACGGGCTTCCCCACTGGACTAGGAGTTCTGAACTATCCCCTGTGCTGTGGGCCCTGCTGGTCTCTGAGGAGGGCATGGGAAGACACAGCAATGACAGTCCGGTCCCTTATATGACAGGTTTGAAGCTAAGGATCACTCAGCACCAGAGCATGTGGGCTGTGGCCAGTGCCGTCCTCCCTGTGTCTGTTCTCTTCTGGCCACCATGGCAGCTCCCCCTGAAGCTACCAGGCTCTGCCTGCAGCCCACCCAGTAGCCTAGGCCTGAGCAGGAGGCTTCAGGGTAGACAGAAGGGAGAGACAGAGGGTGTCTGTTATGACTTAGATACAAGTATCCCCCAAAACTGATGTGTGAGGTCTTGGTCCCCAGTGCAGCGAAGTTCAGAGTGTGACTTTGGGAAGTGATTAGATCATGAGGACTCTGACCTGGTCAGTGGATTAATTATTTGAAGGCCAGGGGAACCTAACTGAAGGATGGGTCTCTGGGGGTGTGCCCTTGGGGATTATCATATCTTGTCCCTGGCCCCTCCCCACTCCTCCCTCCCAGATGCCATGAGCTGAACAGTTTCCCTCCACCCCACCCGTCCACCATGCCCTTCTGCCTCACCTCAGGCCCAAAGCAATGGAATCGGTCAAACATGGACTGAAACCTCTGAAACTCTGAGCCAAAATATAACTTTTCTCCTTTAGGTTTTACGTTAGGTATTTTGGTCACAGTAATATAAAGTTAACTCCAAAGCTTTCCTTAGGAGCTCAGCACAAAAGGCCAGGTGGCGGTGAGGCTAGGGTAAGGTTGGGGTGCAGAGCCAAGACTTTTGAGGGCCATGTCTGCTCTCCCTTGTGGTAAAAGAAGGGCGCTATGGTCACAGAGGCTGCCCGGAAACTCCAGCAAGACCACACCCGGGTGAGGGGCAGCTGCAGCCCCTCTCCACAACAGAGGCAGAGCAGAGCGCAAGGATGTAAAAGGGGGAAGAAGGAGAAGGGTTGGCCAAGGGATAAGTCATGATGGTGGCATAAGGCAAGGCCCCAGTGCCCAGGACACTGGGAACCACCTGATCGTGTGTGCCCATGTCTGACTGCATTCCTGCTCTCCTCCGTCTGAGAACACAGGGAATCCACACAAGTCCCACAGGGCTCTTACCCTGAGAGCACACCCAGCACAAGGTTGAGCATGAAGAAGGAGCCGATGATGATGAGGGGGATGAAGTAGAGCCAGTTCCAGGTGTTTCCAGCTGCATCATTTGTCTGGAAGCAAAGAAGAAGAGATGAGGGAGGATGGACAGACAGCCCTGGCCACAGAAGTGTGCTGGCCCCTTATAGGTCTCCTCAGAAGCAAACACCTGGCAGGGTCCAAGAGGGGAGTCCAGGCAGGTCAGAGGTCAATTGGGACCCCCCCATCAGACCTGCCTCTGCCCTATAGAGCTTCCCCTGGGCTGAGGCCCCCAGAAGACCAGGGATACTTAGCCCTGCTAGTCACTGCCGACGAACGAAGTAGGCCCAGCGAGCTAAAGGCTGCTCCAGATGCCCCAAGGGCTGCATCCTGGCCTCTGTCTGTTGGGACACCTCCCTAATGGGACATTCTCAGTCTCCCTAAGTAGCTCCATTGACATCTCTTCCCAATAGAGCCCCACGGGCTCTAAAGTCCACACCCAGACATCCATCTGCAGCAGCTCCACAACCCAGAGGCCACGGGAGCCTCCACACTGAATTCTCCACGCACCCACAAGGGACAGCTCTCACCACGTGCCCAACACAGCCCAGCTCCCAGACGTGATCTGCATAGCTGAGGCAAAGAAAGGCCATCTCCCCCAGAGCTTTGCTTTTTATAGCACAGCCTACAAAAGGGTGAGCTCCCCTGAATCCAATTTAATTCCACAGCTGTTGTTCTCTTTCTGGGTCCCAGGAACCTTGGCTGCGAGCAGTAGAGAACCTCTTTCTCTATGTGAGCCTAGTGTGAGGAGCAAACCAAGAGGCAGATGGGTGCTGAGGGTGGGCACAACCTGGGCCTTCACACCTCCCTTCAGAGAGTCCTCAAGCTGAGGTCCAGAGCACCCAGCGGGATAGAGGCAGGAGGCCAGCCTGAACATGGCCTACAGCTGGGGCTGATCTCCAGGAGCCACTGTTAGGACGCCTGCCCTTGGGCATCTGTCAGCCCTGGCAGCATTTTCAGAATCTATCCCTAGAGGATCTTCAGTCCCCTGGAATGACTACAGCTTGCAGCTTCTGAGCCCAGAACACTGACTTCAGGACGGTCACCAAAACCCCTGGATTCCAACCTGTATCAGACATTCAGGATCCCGACTCACACTGCAGTTCATGTTCCTGGACACCTCTGCCCAGACCTATATGCAGCTCAGATCCACGGACTGGAAGGGCACTAAAGCCACCAACCTCCCTGCAGGCCACCCTCAAAGTTGTCTTCCTTGCAAGAGGAGAGACTGCTGCAAACGAAGCCCCTTTCACCTAACACATATCAGATACATACATCAATCTAACGTATATCTCTGTAACTGTATATCTAGGTGTACACACCCACAGCAGAGACTGGAAAATATGGGGAACCACAGCATTCAAGTCAGACATGCTGCCGCACGCCTGAGTCCCAGCTACTCAGGAGGCTGAGGCAGGAGGATCACAAGTTCCAGGTAGGCCTTGGCAACTCAGTGAGACTCTTGTCTTCAAATAAAAAGGGCTGAGGATGTAGCTCCGTGGTAGAGCACCACTGGGTTCAATCCCTAGTACCAAAAACAAAACAAAAAGAAACATCCATATTCATAGTATCAGAATCACAGGCAGCAGGAGAAAGAGGACAAAGCTAAGAAAATCCTTCAAGAAACAATCAGTAAAAACTTTCCAAATTTGGCAACAGAAACTAAACCACAGATTCAAGAAGCTGAGCAAACTCCAAATAGCATAAAAGTAATCCACAAGGGGCTGGGGATGTGGCTCAAGCCGTAGCGCGCTCGCCTGACATGCGTGCAGCCCGGGTTCCATCCTCAGCACCACATACAAACAAAGATGTTGTGTCTGCCGAGAACTAAAAAAAAATAAATATTAAAAAATTCTCTCTCTCTCTCTCTCTCTCAAAAAAAAAAAAAAAAAGTAATCCACAAGACACCTAAGAGTCAAACTTCTGAGAACTAAAAACAAAGAAAAAATCTTGAAAGTAGCAAGGCTTTCTCTCCATAGGCGTGTGTATATACAGACACACAGGCACACTTGACACTTAGACATTCAGGTCCGCATTAGATTGAGGTATACATCTGATGCCTATGTGTGTCAGACTGGGTATTTCTCTCACTGTTCACCAATCTTCACCCACCTCCCTCCATGAAGTTACTGTGCCTTACTTTAGTGGAAAACAATTCAAAAGACTTCTCATCAGGCGGTGCATGCCTGTAATCCCAGTAGCTCTGGAGGCTGAGATGGGAGGATTGTGAGTTCAAAGCCAGCTTCAGCAAAAAACAAGACTCAGTGAGACCTTGTCTCTAAATAAAGTACCAAAAGGGCTGGGGATGTGGCTCAGTGGCCGAGTGCCCCGGAGTTCCATCCCTGGTACCAAGAAAAAAGATTTACCATCAGAAGCCAGGGAAGCCAGCAGGAGTGAAAGAAAGAAAAGAACTGTTGACCCAGACACCTGCACACCTCGAAAACAGAGCTGGGGAATCAAGACATTCAGATGAAAGACCAGGAAGATTAAAAGAGTCATTCACCAGCAGGGCTCCCCTCGAAGAATGGCTAATGAAACTTTAAAAAAGGAATCACTGACCACTAGAAAGAAAGGAAACACATAGATCGAATCAATTATGGATAAATATATTTTCTTTCTCCTTCTAAGTTTTCTAAATTATGTTTGACAATCGAAGCAAAACTTATACTAGTATCTCATGCAGTTCTAAATATGCAGAGAAGACACATTGAAGGTAATTGTGTTACAGAAGATAAAGAAACGCAGAGAAGGCAAGACTTATTCTCCTCACTTGATCTGGTAACGTGATAACATCAGCACAGACTCAGAGCAGCTGGCAACCACTAAGAGATAGATACACGTGCATGGGTAGGTCAAAATGGGATTCTAAAAGAACAAAATAAAAAGCCAGCTAACCCACAGGAAGACAGGGAAAAAGAACAAGAAGCCAGATGGAATAATGGTAAACAAAACTATAATGGCAAATGTAACATATAAATAAGCACCTTAAATGTAAATGGTCTGAAAATATCAATTAAAGATAAAGACTAGACAGTGGATTTAAAAATGAACTTATCTAGAAGAAATTCACTTCAAATAGCAAATGTAGGCAAGTTGGAAGCCAAATATGGAAAATGATCTTTTTTGTTTGTTTGTACTTTGGGTATTGAGGATTGAACCCAAGGGTGCTTAACCACATCCCCAGCCCTTTTTTATATTTTATTTAGAGACAGGGTCTTGGTGAGTTGCTAAGGGCCTCACGAAGTTGCTGAGGCTGGCTTTGAACTCGTGATCCTCCAGAGCCCCTGGGATTACAGGCATGCACCACCGCGCCTGGTGGGAAACTATATTTCATACAAATATTCATTGAAAGAAAAGTGGAGTGGCTATATCAGATAAAGTAGACTTCCAAGCAAAAAACTACCAGAAATACAGCAGAATGTATATAAATAAAAAGAGTCAATCCACAAGAAGACAGCAATTCTCAATGTATATGCAACCAACAAAAGTGCTGCAATGTAAGACAAACACGAAGGAACTAAAAGGAGAAACAGACGAAGTCACAACGTTGGACACCTCTTCACTTTTTTTTTTTCAAAAATCCATAGAAGAACTGGACAGAAAATCAGCAAGGACACAGAAAATCTCAACAACCCATCACCCAACAGAATTCAATTGACATTTATACACCTAGTCCATAACAGCAGCAGAATACACATTCTTTTCAAGTGCAAATACCAACATGGACCACACTCTGAACTATATACCAAAACTCAACAAATGTAAAAGAATTCAAATTCTTACAATTCGGTGTATTCTTCCACTACAATAGAATCAAACTAGAAATAACAGAGGCATAAGAAGTAACTCAAACATAAAGAAGACAATTCTAAATAAATCATGGGTCAAAGATGGAAGTCTCAAGGAAGTTTAAAAAATACACTGAACTGCAGGAAAATAAGAATACAATATACCAGGGGTTGGGGCTGGGGCTCAGTGGCAGAGCACTTGCCTCGCACATGTGAGGCCCTGGGTTCAATCCTCAGCACCACATAAAAAAATAAATAAACAAAATAAAGATATAGTGTCCAAGTATAACTAAAAAAATTTTTTAAAGAATACGATATATCAAACTTATAGGACATAGCTAAAAGCAATGCCAAGAGGGAAATTTATATCACACATCCATGTTACAAAAGAAGGAAAATCTCAAATTAATAACCTAAGCTTCCATCTTAAGAAACTTTTAAAAAAGAAAACAACACAAACCAGAATCAAGCAGCAGGAAATAAATAAGAGTAAAATCCAACAAAATTGAAAACAAAAACAATAGAGAAAAAAATCAACAAAAATGAGAAGCGATTCTTTGAAGAAAATCAGTAAACTGACAAACTTGTAGCAATACTAAGAAAAAAGAAAAAACATGCAAGTTATCAAAATTAGTAATGAGGCAAATCCAGCAAACATCAAAAGGATAATAAAAGAATACTATAAACAACTTTACATACATATATTTGACAATGTGAATTAAGTGGACCAATTTCTAAAGACCACAACTTACTCAATGTAAATTAATAGTCCTATAATTGTGAAGGGAAATGAAATAATAACTTAAAAACTCCCCCCAAGTGGGCTGGGGCTGTGGCTCGGTGGTAGAACACTTGCCTAGCACATGTGAGGCACTGTGTTCAATTCTCAACACCACATAAAAATAAATAAATAGATGAATAATAAAATAAAATCCACCCACAACTTAAAAAATATTAAAAAAAAAATTCTCCCCAAAAGGATAGACACAGATCAATGGAATTGAATTAATGATCTAGAACTAAATCCTGACTTACATGATGAGGAACTTTTAATGAGGCTGCTGGGACAATTCAATGGGGAAAGAATGGTCTTCTCCATCAATGGTGCTGGGACTAGTGGGTCTCCACATGCAAGAGATGAACCTAGGCCCTACCTCACACCAGGCATAACAATCAACCCTCGGGGCACCAGGCATAACAATCAACCCTCGGGGCGCCAGGTTGGATCCTCAGCACCACATAAAAAT